GAACGTCCTCTGAGATCCACAAGCTGACCCACTGAAAATTCAAACCTCCTAGGAAGCCTACTCGTCGGGTATCAGGGGGAACTAAAGGTTAACCTTTTTGGTAATATAGGGGTCATGTACGGACTATACTACCCCAATAAAGGTTAAAGGTTCCCTACTCTACTACGCTAAGTAGACCTGAACCTTGCGAACATAGACCCTGAACCTTTCGACGCACCATGAACTTCTTTAAGAAACCTCCACCACACCCCATAGAACATCTTACAACCTTTTTTGCGTAAAGCTCTTGCATCTGCAGCGCAGACATCTTGAAAGCCCTATTCTTGTAGAACAATCGAGCGAAAACCAAAGCCTGATGCCGAAAAAAAAGCACGCGGCCTGGCGGGTCCAAATACTCCCAGTAGTTATAGGACTTTAGGGCCGTTTTAGGTATGAAAAACCATAAACAAGGACTACTTGGACCCTTATACCTGGACCCCGAAGGTACGTAGAATACTAACCCTCTATCGGTTTTGGGCCTTTTTTAAAACTATTTGGGCGATTTAGGTAGGGCCGTTTTAGGTATCAAAAGCCATAAACAAATGCTACCCCCTAACCCCAAACCCTATAAACCCTCTTAGGGACGGCCTGGAGAGCAGCTGCAAGGTCGGCCAAGCCGCCTTCCTCGGCCGGCGCCTCCTCTGCCGTCGCCTCCTCACCCAGAGACTCCAATATCCCTTAAATAAGGGGTATTCCTTAAATCCATAGTAAGGATCCTACTATAATTTAAGGTATATTCCTTAATTCAGGGATATTGGAGTCTGGGGGCACGGCAGCTGCAGGTTGCGGGGTTTGGGCTGTGAGGGTTAAGGGGTCGTTGCTTAACTCATCGGGCTTTCGAATTTGCTTATCAGGCTGTTGAGTTTAGGATATAGGAACTTACGGGCAAGGGTGTGGGCGGTTTAGGATTTCACACTTCAACTAATTAGCGGCTTTAGGGTTTTCGGGCGCATCGGCTTAGGACCTTGGGCTCTAAGGGCGTAAGGTTTATAGGGCCTTAGGGTGAAACGCCAGCAGACGGCAAAGATCATACCCTCATCACTTACGAACACCCCTGCGGTAGGACCGCAACTTAGAACTCTGAACTCTCACCTTTTAGCCGCGCTAGTGGGAAGTCATAGTAGTTTTGATTATTCCAGTCACAACCTTCATGCAAAATCGGAATAGCAGTAAGAGTAGTCATAGTCTGCGCCTCAGGCGGCTCTTCCTTTGGGGCAGCGGCTGCGACCTGCGCTGTGTCTGGTGACCCGGAACTTTTGAAGTTAGGCTGGGGGTCCATCTTAGAAGTCTTAGCCTATATCCTAAAGCCTTAATTGTTTTTCGGGGGTCGATATATCTTCCGAAATGGTGTGTTGTAAATAGCTCGAACCTACGAGCAGTGGCGGATTCGTGTTTAGAGTCGCGGTTGGATCCGGTTCGAGCTATGGCTGCTACGGGATGATGGTTTTTTGCGGCCGGATTCGTGCGAAGTCCGGGAAAGCTAAGGAATTGGAACAAGTGGAAAGCGATGTCGCATTCCTTGGTCGCATCTTGTGGATGCATACAGGTAATCTACAGTAATTAGAATTAATAAGCTTTGGCATTGCTGCGGCTCCCACGTTTTGATTGCTTTCAAAGCTGGATTTCATCGAAGCATAAGGTAAGGCGCGTGCAAGTTGTCCTTGCCATGTACGTATTCTAGACGGCTTGTGAAGAAACTGGGCATGCCACATGGAAGGTGTGTCGGTATGGGTGCCAGGGTTTGCATCGGGCAGGTGATGAGCAATGGCAGTCGAAATGGTCCCTGTAAACCTTACACCGTAAGCCAAAACCCACAGCTTTTCCGGAACATGGTACAGGCAGAGTCCAATGGCTGAGTTTCCAGAAAGCCTTTACATTCCTGGTTGAGGGTTTCTAGGCGTAACCTATAACCCTAAGCCCCAACACCCTAAACCCTCAACCCCCTATGAACCCCAGTGGCATGCCTCCGCTTCCTCCTCTGCATCGATTTCGGCCACCTCTCTCACCTCGGTTCTTGTTCGCCGGTTTAATTTAAGTTACAACAATAGATCCTGGAACAAGAACCCAGTCACCGGAGCGCTTTCCACCGCGGCTGCAGCGGCCGGCGGCGTCGCCTGCGCAGCCGCGAGCTCGGCCTCCCAGAGACTGAAGGCTATGTGGGTGGTTGATGGGAGATTCCGAAAATTAGGGGTACCTTATGTTGGGGTCCTTATACGACGGATCCTACTATTTAGGGTCCCTTTCTTTAGGGTCCCCTATTTTCGGAAGCTCCCATATGGGTGGTTGTCAAAATTATGGTACCTTTTTGGTTTTGGGTCCCTATTATAATACGGCACCTAAGAGTTGGGGTACCCAAAAAGGGACCATAGCTTTGACAACCTTCTGTGTGTGGGGTGAAGGGTTTAGGGGATCTTTAAAGGGATCTATGTGGTTCCTTAAAGGATCAATGGGGTTTAGGGTTTAAGGCCTACTTAAAGGATCATGGGACTTAGTAACTAGCCCTATGGGTCCATGTGCCCAAATAGGGTTTCTTTAAGGGTACCATAAAGGTTCCTTTAAAGGGATCTATAAGAGATCCATAAGGGCTTAGGGCTTAGGGTATAAGGGTCCATGTAGCCAAATAGCATATACTTTGGGTCCACTGTACCCATGAAGGGAGCACTTTAAGGCCAATGTAGATACTATTTAGGTACATGGACCCTTAGGGTATAGGTAGGGTGAAGGGTTTAGGGGTCTGGGGTATAGGGGTTTAGAGTTTAGGGTTTAAGGGTTTAGGGGTTTAGGGCCTATGTAATATGTAATGTTCTACAAGCCTCAGGTTTGAAGGCTTTCGGGTCCAAGACTATATAGCTTTAGGCGACTTTAGTGTTGATCCAAAGGACATATAGTCCAAAACCTGAGATTTTGAGATACTGGGTGCGTGCACAGACGGTATGTGCACACTTCCTGTGTGTGACTGAGTTTCATGCACATACAATGGGATAGCATAACTGATACGCTGACAATATCCGGATAATTAAACATTGAAGGGGTTTTTGGGATCGCACGATGTTAGAAAAACGATCACAAACTTCCACTCGCCAGCTGGCAAAATCCTTCATCGACCCACTAAGTTTAGGGTACTAGAAAATGCAGTTACCCAACACTGAATATCTCAAGCAGAGGACAACTCCGAACAAGAGCATCAGCCACAACGACAACCACAATCAACATGCAAATTACGAACACTGAAGATACTCAGGTTACCATCCTGCAGCACCCGTTTGTTGTTCAGACGTCTGTTTTTGCGGTGGTAGCTGTCCGTTTTGGTTAGGGCCTCTTGATTGTGTTCCCAATGCCCTGAGCAGATCCCTCACGTTTTATAACCTCTTGGAGCAACCCTGATCTGCCCTGCAGTTTTTTTCACGGACCAACTAACTTCCTGTCAAGGCAAGGGTTGAGTGTTAAGGGCGCACCAAACCACGTATAGCCTACTCCCTTGGCCCCGAAGCCTGAAACCCTATGAAGCCCTGAAACCTGAACGGTCAGGGTGCGAGTCACTTGAAATCCCCAGGGCATCAACATGCCTTGAGGCGCTCCACTTCGCGGGCAGAACTAGAGCCTCAGGTAGCTTTGTTCTATCTTTAGAAGGGTGACAAAGTACATGAAGAACCACGGAGACTGGGCATCTCTCTCGATTCTTTCGGAACCCCGCCTCTGAAACCGAAACTCGAAACCTCTACCCTTAATCGCAGCCTTAATCCAGCATAGTATACTGGTAGCATGCAGTAAGCCTCACGCCGTAAGCTCAAGCAACGTATGCAGTACGCTAAACTTTGCCCATGCCTTAATGGTAGGACCTCGTGCAAGATCCTTCTACTACCCTCAGCCGGAAACAGCACACCCTAAATTCAAAAAAACGAACACCATGTTTTGTACTACAAACCTCCAAACCTATCTGATCTCGACCTGAACAGTCTAACAACATCCATCGTTATGGACATCAAGCCATTCGTTCACAACATTGCGCGGGGTCTTCTGCTAAAGCCTCACATCCTAAGACCTCAACCACAATGACTCCAAATCTAAACCTCTGAAGCCTGAACCGTCAAATCCCTTGAGATCTACACCATTCCCAAGCCGTAAACCCCAAACCTTAAAGCCCCCAAGCCTCATCAGCTTCGAGCACTCCGACCCCTCAAGCGCGAGAAACCCCACAGAAACCCTCTATTCAGGTGTGTAAGGGAGTATACTATCAGGCTCGGATAAGGGCGATAAGGGTTCCTGTAAGAGATATACATGGGTTTTCTTCAAGGGTTCAGCGTTTTGCACATTTCATCGAGTTCTGGTTCTGAGTATAGTTCAGGGGATCTTGATCTATAGTACCCCTCATCATAACCACTTGAAACACTTTCTGACATTCATCAAGCCCCAACAAGGACCTTCGCTAAGGGGCCCGAATTATACCCTAAACTCATAGGCCGTAGAAACCTGACCCTTCACTCCTCAGGCGGTTAGTCTTGTCAAAGGCCATTATATTGGCTCCTGCAGCCAAACCTTACCCGAAGGGACAGGAGGCAGCAATTAGGCATTTGGGTTCAGGACAACACGTAGTAAGTAGTCTGGGTTTATAATTGGGGAGTTCTTACCAATTAGTCAAGCACTTGGACTCTCAATTGACCTATGATCTAGAACCCCCTCGACTCTACGCCTATAATCCCTTCAACCCTGCACCTATATTCCCGTCGCCATAAACCCCCTAAATCCACAATCCTCGAAGCCCTAAGCCCATAGTCCCCCGAACCCTGTCTCGGCCCTAGAGCCTTTCCCAAAGGCTCCATGTACCTTCATAGTAGATACTTAAGCTTCAAAGGGGTCACTATATAGGACTTTAAGGCCTAAGTATATACTATATGGGTATATGGAGCCTTAGGGTTTGCCCTAAGTATATACTATATGGGTATATGGAGCCTTAGGGTTTGCTAGTTTTTGGAATCTTTGAGGGCCGAACGCAGCTCCGCGAGCTCGGCCCTGAGACCATCTGCCTCGGCCGCCGCCGCAGAGTCCTGCGCAAGAAAGACGTTAACCATGAATAACCTACCTGCTTAGGCCTTCTTTTTAGTGCTATTTCCGTGAAAAAAGACGATAACCATGAATAACCTACCTGTTTAGAGCTTCTGATTAATTAGTATGATTTCCGTGACAAAAGTCCTTCAAAAGGTAGGTTACTCGGGGTTAAGGCCAAGGGAATACTTCATCTAACCGAAGGGTTGAGGGTTTAGTGTTTACTAAACTCGCATACACGCACCCACAAGTGTGTGTATCTGTATACATATATATAGAGAGAGAGATATGCGCATACACACACAAGTACATGCATACACATATGTTACATGTGTATGTATGCATGTACGTATGCGTGGATGTATGTATGTATGCGTGCAATGTGTGTATGTATATAAAGATACATATATAAGTATGTTCAGTGCGTATATGAACACACCGAATAAACGCACATTCTCTCTCTCTCACACACACACACACACCCGCGCACACACACAAACACACAGACTTGTGCATGAGGTCTTGGGCTTTGCTTAGTGTTGTCTTGTGGCATATAGGGTCTTAGAGAGGTAGGTTTCTACATTGTGTTAGGGTCTTGCAGGCTCTATAAGGCCATGTTTTTGGGGCATTTGGTGTTCGGGCTTAGCCAAGTATCAAAAGCAAAGACTCTGGGGCCTGCAGCATATGCCTAGAGCGTAATAGTGTGTGAGGCGATTGCTGTAATTAACTGCTAAGGGATACTCCAGTACGTTTGACATTCTATGTAGGTATATGTACACGCTTATCAGGGCTGCTTTGCACACATTCAAGACTAGTCCCAACAGAATGCGGCTTGGAAGACTAAGGTCATGGTGAGTCATAGCTGCATCGGGCTCAGGGACGGTTGACACCCCCAACCTCTTCACACTTCACACTTCATGGTTTAGGTTTTAAACCTGAGTTCGAACAGCCAGAAAGTGCCAAGTAAGCTCTACAGCGCGCCTTCGCTTTGCCTTGCTCCTGCCGCAGGTCCTGTCCAGCCCGTTATTCTTCTTCTAAGACGGCAACTGAGTTTAGGCTTTGATTCGGTGTGCCTTAGCGAGGGTCCTTTCTGGGGCTTGCATGAATTTCGGAAGCGTTTCAAGTCGTCACACTGGAAGGGTACTATAGATCAAGATCCCTAGAAGTATACTGTATACTCAGAACCACAATTCGATGAAATGTGCAGAACCCTAAACCCTTGAAGAACCATTCATACATAACCACTTACAGAAATAACTTTTATCGTTGTCATAGCCCCGAACCCACACACCCGAACGGCACCATTCAAAATCATGCGACGCATCCTTTACAGACCAACGGAGCGCTTTGATTGTACACTCTGGCCATGAGACTTAAAATGAATGAAAACAAGACTTCCTGTACAAGACGGTCCTACCCTTCCCTCCCCCGATGCCTCAAAGGATACTGATCCCACACCTTCAGACAGAGCCGAAACACAAGAGCCCTGAGACATAGAACAGTGCGTTTGTGGGCATGTTATTTTAGATTCATGAAACGGAGTGGAATGGGACATTAGATTACACATGACAATGAGACCTGTATATTGAACACGACAACCCGAAAACCTCAACCACCAATCTCTAAACCCTAAATCCCGTAACCCTATACACCTCGGAATCCCGAACTAAAACCCTGAAGCCATAAAACCCGTGAACCCCTCAACTAGTTCATTGTTGGGATAGGAATACAAATGTACATGGTTATTCCCTGTTGGCTTTAACTACCCATAAACATGTAAAATGTTACCCAACTATGACCAAGTCAACCCATGTCCTCCATCTCACTGGCCAGCCGCGACTGCTCGGCCTTCGCTGCTTCCGAGAGACGCTTCTCCTCCTCAAGAGACGACGTCACCTGCGCCGTTTATGGTAATTAGGGTTTAGGGTTTAGAGTTTGTGGTTTCGGGTTTAGGGGTTTAGGGTTTTTGGTTTCGGGTTTAGTGTTTTGGGGTTTAGGGAGGCAGGGCTTCGGGAAGCGGGTGTAGGGGTTTAGGGAAGAGGGTTCAGGGGTTTATGGTTTAGGGCTTGACAGATTCCTGTAAGTATACGGCTCTGAGCACTCACATTACTGCACTGCGTGAAGCCCCAACGAGCTCAGTGGATGTGGTTACTACCCTCCCCGGAAGCACCCAGAAAGCGCTTTTACAGAAGTCAAGACAAACATGGGGGGATGTCATTCCCTAATAAGGGTCCATGTACCCAAATACTAAATACTTTGGCCTCAAAGTACTCCCTATATAGGTACATTGGGTCCCAAGTATATACTGTTCAGGTACATGGACCTTTAGGGAGTTGCATTTCATCCGAAACCCTCTAATAGATGGTACAGACCTGCATCAAGCGGAGCCGCAATGATGCACTTCAGCCCCTTCGAAATTCTAGGAACCACTCCAGGCAGTGGCATGCACTGAGCTTCTCATTTTCTTCGGCGTTCACGTCGAGCTTGGGTTCAGGGTTTGGGGTTCAGGGTTGAGGGTTCGGGCTCTTGGGGTTTAGGGATTTAGGGCTTAGGGGTTTAGGGATTTAGGGGTTTGGGGATTTAGGGCTTCAGGGTTGAGGGTTGTTTGGTACAAAGCCTGGGATTCTGTGGTTGCTAATCCCATGCCCTAGGTGTTACTGGTCCTCCCCCATCAGAGAGCACTCGAAAAGCTCGCTATGTATAGTGGTGTTCATCTCTACTGTCATCCTCCTGCTACTGCTGCCTCTCTTGCCCCTGGTCTTGCGGTTTTAGGGTTAGGGCTCCAGAACCCCCTCGTCGAAATTAGGTTAAAACAGGCAGGCATGATATCATCAGGGGGCGGAGGCAGGATGTGTTGCTAGTGTTAGGATGGATGCTTAACTATGGGGGGAAGCGCCTACTTGACTACAGTACTCGGGCTCCCTTGACAGAGCGTGGTCCTTGTATTATGTATGGACCTGCGCAATGTGGAAGGGTCCACATCCCCTCCGCGAGGGGATACGTTGCTGGTAAAGGGGATCTTCACATTACAGTAAAGTGATACACCGAAGCTGCAATGTTAGACTTCCGGCGTCACCTGCTCCAACTCCTGTTGCGTCGCCTCGGTCTTGGACCTCTCCTGGCAGAGAGAGTCTCTGACTCCCTGCGGGGTTGAAGTAGTATGTACAGTAGGGGCACAGAACCAGGACTGAAGGTTCGGCTGTGGTAGTCAGTATGTAGAATGATGGCCTTTTATGGGTATTGCGCCATTACTTGACCGACTGTAGCGGATTTAGGTACTGGGTAGGTCATAGGATGTCATAGGTATCTTGGTCGGACTTTTTGGGTTTGCCAGTCGCTTCAAATCGCAATGAACTGTTCATACCGTGAGCCCCGAACTCCAAATGCTCAAGCATCTGTAGTGGACAGCATTTTTGAGGGGGCCTTACAAGGGCTCTTCTTTTAAAGTCAATAACAAATGCGACATTGCATTATCACTGGACCCTTTCAAGACTGCCATGTTAATTTAGGGTTTAGGAGTTTGGGGTTAGCTGTTTGAGGCAACTTCGACGTTTTGGGACTTCCCTACAAGTTAGTGTTCCTACTGGCTTCTCCCGCAAAAGACCGTTAGAACAGGCCCATCCTCTCTGAACTGAACCTTACCTTAAGGCTCCTGGACCCTCGTAGTGAAATCCCACACCTTAGCCCCCAAAGCCCAAACCCTCCCTCAGAAAGCCCCGAACCCTCTTAGGAGCCTTAGGGTAAGCCCTAACCCCCAGACCCTCAATCCCAATCCGGCGGAGGGCCTCGGCGAGCTCGAAGCTTCTTTCTTCAGCCTTGCTTCTCTCCTGGATACTGAGACTATGCAACAATATGGGGATTTCCGAAAATAGGGGACCCTAATATTCTTTCCCAAATAGTAGGATCCTTATTATAAGGACCCCAAAGGAAGGCACCCCTAATTCCCGGAAACTCCCATATTGCTACTTCCAGCCTCAGGACCACCGACAAAGAGCTTGGACCCCTAAAACCCAGTCTGAAACCCTTAAGCCCGAAATCGTTTAACCGCGAGCCCTGAACTCCAAATGTTCAAGCATCTGTACTGGACAGCATTTTCGGGGGGGCCTTACAAGCGCTCCTGTTTAATTGGCAGAGGCAAACTCAACCTTGTATGATCACTGGACCCGTTAAAGACTGACATGATCATTTAGCGTTTAGGGTTTGGGGTTACTTGTTCACAAGGCAGGACCTGGAAATTGCCGTGAGGCAAGTTCGACGTTTTAGGACTTCCCTAGAGGTGAATGTTCCTACTGGTTTCTCCTGTAAAAGACCGTGAGAACAAGCCCATCCTCTCTGAACTGAACCCTACTTAAAGGATCATGGGACTTAGTAACTAGGGTTATAATTAGGGTAACTCTACTTATAGCTACTTATAACCCCAATTAAGGTACTTCTAACCTTACTTACTACGTCCCACGATCCTCCAAGTAAACCCTAAACCCCAGATCCCAAGCAAAAACTCAAGCTGCCAAATCCGACGAAGGGCCTCGGCGAGCTCGGAGTTTCTTGCTTCAGCCTTGCTTCTCTCCTGGATACTGTTGGGGGGTTTGGGGTTTAGGGTTTAGGGTTCAGGGCTTCGGGTTTAGGCCTTGGGGCTGTCACTGTCCCGTGGCATTACATGCGGCTTGGCTTAATTAATCAGCGGTTGGTTACAGCATCTCGTCAACATAGGATCTCTGTGTGTATATTACAATACCAACATATGTATATATATATATATATATAGATACATACATACAGATGGTCATATGTACATATACACATGCATACGTAATTACATACATACATACATTACATACATACATACATACATACATACATACATACCATACATACATACATACATACATACATACATACATCTCGCAGCGCAGATTGAACTCGCTCATCGTCGAGCTGCGACTGCAACGGCACAAGAGCTTCTTCATGAACTTCGGCGGATGGGATGTTGAGCGCAGCTGCATCTTGAGGAAAATGCAGATCTCATGCTTTCTGATACCCTGCGTTGGGGTTCGGTTGCTTCAGGGCTATGAACTTCCAAGTCAATCATAAACAATACTAGCGCTCCGACGATGATTGCGAAGGAAGTTCCAAGAAATCAGGTGACGAAACAGACAGTACTGCACGAAACATAGCCGTCACACAAGAAAGGAACCAGAAACCAGGAGGCTATACAACGTTAGAGCTACTTCCCGCCTCCGGACTCCCGACAAGGAGCTGGGTTCGCTAAAAACCCAAGTCTGAAACCCTTAAACCTTTTCATGTTTAGCCCAGGCCCTAAACCCCTGAACCCCTAAACGGTTCAGGCGACAGGGTTTGATGAATCTTTCAACCACATACCCAAAACCATGCGGCCTAAACCCTGTTTAAACCCTAAGCCGCAGCCGAACAGGGATCCGTGCTTTTCCAGAGCTCATGCCGGTCCTGTTCAAGGTCGTTCTCGGCGGCCTGCCGGTATGGTTTTATGACAGGGCCTTATGAACTGTCGTATGTGTAGTATGATCTTTTTCTGCAAGAAGATTCATGGATCCGTGCGCCTGAGAACAGCAATTGATTTGTCGTACCGACGATGCGAGTACCTGTGACATGGTGGAACCAGTATTGTGAACCTGTGCTGTTGCTACAGAGACCCCATGTCTACCTTTGCCAAGCCTTTCTGTCATCAAGGCAACAACTGGCTTGGGCTCAAATCACTCCGCAACAAGGGAAGACCGCGCTACCATCACCCAGACCCCCCGATCCTCGGCACTTGTATATCTCGTTTTGAAGATTCCTGTGGAACAAAATTCCAATTAAGGCCAAATTTCCGGCTCCTCCGAAAACTATAAGAACCCCAAAAGTTTAAAGGTTGGGTATTGGGGATCACCAAGTACCATTGTCGTAGATACTTAGTAGGTATTTGGGCCCCAAAGTATATATTAGACTATTACTTGGACCCTTTGGGCAAAATTCTCCAATTATTCAGGTCGCCTCTGACTTTTGAGGATCCCTGTGGACACATTCTCCAATGATTCAGGTCACCTCTGACTTCGTCCGTTCACCCTCCAGCTCCGCAGCGATCTGGGCGATCTTGTCAATTTGCTCCTGAAGCTCCTTGGCGAGGCGAGAGGAGCTCCTCTAAAAAGATTTATAAGGGTTCCTTTTTCAAGGGATCGATAAGGGTTCCTTTAAAGGGATCTACAAAGGTACCATAAGGGTTTATACAGATTCAAGCCCTTGCCCCATGTAACAGCCCTCTTTGAGCCCATAGGAGAAACCTAGGTCCAAGTCGAGATAATGAGACCCCCTACATTCTTGCAGTGACAAAAAAGACATCTAACAACATACAACAATAATGAAAATCTTACAGAACCAATAGTACTAGTTGTAGTAGCAGATAAGATGTCATCAGTACATTAGCAATACTACATGTAGTTAAAACAACGAACATGAGTCGTAGCAGTAGCAATACACTCTAGAAAATGAAAGTAGTTAGAACACAGCTTAGCAGTGAAGATGACGATGTGAACGATTAAGAAGAAGATTACGATGCCGATGACAACTGCAAATGGTACAACGCAGCAAAAAAAACAACGCCACGGCACCACAACTACACCAAGCAACACGCCAAAATGCTAAGCACGCCCCTAATCCTAAACCGCCAACCCCTACAGCCTAAACCCTAAGCTCGAAACCCCTCATTCCCCAACCCCCAAACCCCTAAGCCCTGAACCCCTCCCTAACCCCTAAACCTCTCTAATCCCTATAAACGAATAACGCCGCCGAGAAGCAGCTCTGAGAGCAGCCTCGCTGTCTCCCGCCTCCAGGAAGCTCTACAGCTGGGCTCCACAGAGCTTTTGGGTTTAGGGGTTTAGGATTTCAAGGGGTTTAGGGTTTAGGATTTAGGAGGGTTCAGGGTGTCAAAGACTTTAGGGTTTAGGGTCTAGGGTTTACGGTTTTGGGATTTTGGGCTTCGGGTTTAGGTTTTCAGTAGGTTTTAGGGTTTAGGGCTCCGAAGAGTTTAGGGTCTAGGAGCTTCGGCTTTTGGAGTGTTTTGTGTGGGCTGTAGTCGGGTTTCTATAAAACTTCAATCAGTTCGAATAGGGTTTCAACGGATTGTGTTACTATACTGAACTTAGCAACCTAGCAAAAACTGCAACTATAGTTGTCGCTGTTTCTTAGGGAGTATAATGACCAAAGACCAAAGATTAAAGACTTTGTCTACATCCCCCTAAGGTCAGGGTTCTGTAGGTGCCCATGCTGGGTTCCTTGAAGCAGGTGCTGTAAGGTTTACCCTAAGAGTCCCTGGTAGAAGGTAGAAGGGTTTAGGGGGATAGGTTTTTTTTTTAAGTGTAGTAGGGATAGGGGTTTAAGGCTTACGGTTTAGGGTTTAGGTTTACCCCCAAAAAAGTCCTCGTAGAAGAAGGGATCCCTGCTAGGATTCTAGGCCTCAGGATTCACAAGTAAGGGCCCTGGCATTCAGGATGATAAGCTCTACCCACCGTTATCACACTCATTTTGGAGGCCTCGGAAGCTGGGATGAAGGTAAGATTAAGGATCCATTTTCAAAGGTTGTGACGGTCATTTCTATGATATGCCACCTGCTCAGCCATGACGTTCGGACGTCACAGAACTGTGAAGAAGGATTAAGGATCCCTTATGAGGACTCTTATTCCGGGATTGCCCCACCTACCTTCATCCCACCCTTGGATCCTTTTGACACCCTAAGCCCCTACACCCTAAACCCGAACCCAGAGAGCCCAATGCATTTACATTAAAAGGAATATGGCTGAAACTGTATCTGGCTTCATATTGGTATGACTTATATATAAGCTATATTCCTTAATTAAGGGGTTTTGGGCTCTCTGGGAACTTCTATCACACCTAGAAAAGTCCCCGCCAGCCTTCGCTGCGAGCTCCTGGCGGTCTGCGGCCGTGCGTTCCCGGAACTCCTCCAAAAACGAGCTTCCTCTACGGGTTACGTTATGGCTGTACAAGGTACTTTACGGGCTCCATAAAGGATGCATACGGGTCTAGGTTGAGCGGTTTTGCAGGACTTTATCGGGTTTACTGCGCCGGTAGGCGTGAATTATCGCAACGACTGAAACAAAAAAGTTGTAGTGGTTGAGGTTGGTCTACACGAGCCCCCTATGGTGTTGAAGCAACAAGCCTAGAGCGTTGAAGCAGGAGCTAAAGTTTTTATGGGCTTCCAATGAAGTCTATACCTAGAGGCCCCACAGTAGTTCCTTTTCGGGGTTCATCTTTTTTGAATCCTATAAAGTAATCCCAAAAAGGAACTACTCTGGGGCCTCTGGGTAGTCTATATTGCTTTCGGTTCAGGATTTAGGATTTTACGGAAATGCGGAAAGAAACTTCAACCCAAGCCTCCAGTTCGCTCTTGAGCTGCTCCGTGTGCTGCGTGGCATCGTCTGCCGCCGCCTTCGCAGGAACGCTTCGGGGGACCAGGCCTTTGGGGTTTAGGGTCTTTAGGGCTTACGGATTAGGGCTCCTTTAAAGGGATCTATAGGGTTTCTTAAAGGGATCTATGGGGTTTAGGGTTTAGGGTCTACTTGGGAGGATCATGGGACTTAGTAAGTAAGGTTATAAGTACCTTAGTTGGGGTTATAAGCAGTTATAAGTAGAGTTACCCTAATTATAACCCCAGTTACTAAGTCCCATTAATTATCCTTTAAGTAGGGTCTTTAGGGTTTAGGGATTAGGGTTTAGGGGTTTTGGGCTATGGTTTGGAATCTTTGGGGGTGGGGGGTTTGGGGTCGCGAGGTTTTTGGAGCAGGGTTTAGCGCTTCAGGGGTTTAGGGTTTTGGGTTCAGAGGCGTAAGAGCAGCACGGAACCCTACACCTCACCTAGAACACCACGACCACGATCTGTGATAACCCATGTATGTGTGTATGTATATATATATATATATATAGATGCATATAAATAAATAAATACATGTGTGTATATATATATATATATACATATATATTCACATATAGTTGTATGTACATATGTATATGTATATATATATATATATATATATATACATGTATATGCGTGTCTGTGTATGCATCTTCTCTATATACACATACATACAGGCAGCCATACAGACATACGTGCATACATACATGCATACAAACAGAGAGACAGAGAGAGAGAGAGAGAGAGAGAGAGAGAGAGAGAGAGACAGAGAGAGAGAGAGAGAGCTAGCGAACTTCTGTTGACACCCCTGATTTCCTTCATCAGGCGGAAATCCGAGCCAACAAATCACCACTCGACAGTTAACCAGTGACGGATGAATTAGGGCGCAAGGGAATATCCCGATCACAACAATAAAGTTAGGGATTCAGGGGCCTGTCCCGCAGAAAGAGTCACCCCAACGCTTGTGGAAGTAGTAAAGTTGCGGATTGCTGAACTCCTGGAATTCGAAGCCTCGGTCTCACACTATACCCCAAAGAAGCTCTAGACTGTTGGCCTTCACTGACCTATAGAAGCTAAACGAAACAGGGGCTGGCACCTCACTACGGTTGATGATATGAATCCTGCAGTACCCATAATAAGGAATAAACCATAATTCCCATAGTTTAGGGTCCTTAAGGTAATGCAGGACTTATATCATCAACCGTATCCTCATGTCCTAAGAGCACTTGTCATCTCTTTTCCAAATCCCATCTTGTGGGGGCCGAGGGTTTGGGTCTGCCTATAGTCTCCATTGTAGTTCCTTTTTTGGAACAACGTTCAAAAAAGTGGAAAGTATAGCTAGAGTCCTATAGGGTGTTTTTTTGGCTCACCGGTAAACACCGACATCCCCCATCTTTGAATCCCGATGACCTACCCTGAGGGTCCATGTACCTGAAAAAGTATATACTTGGACCTTAAAGTAGACCCTGTACAGGTACTTTGGGGGCAGAGTATATACTATTTGGGCACATGGACCCTTAGGGCTATGCTTTTGAGCATAACCAACCAGCCATCCTCTACGGCTGCCTACGAAAGTGGCCGTCAGCGTCACACTCAATTATCATTCCTCTAAGGGCCTTGATCTATTCTAGTTATCGTATAATGGGCCCCGAAACCCTTTTCAAATGATTAAGGCCCCTATGTTACTCTCTTTAAGATTCATATGGTAGACTAATACTTTATTTCTGAAAGAATGACTCTTGAACCCGAAACCCAAAATCCCTAAGCCCCAAACCCCAAACCCCTAAATGCATAAACCCCTAAATCCTATACACCCTCAAGCGGCGGCGGACCTCCAACTTGGAGCGCAGAGTCTCAGCATCTGCCTTCTCTTTTGCCAGCTGTGCCTCCACCTGATCGGTTCTTGGCGTCTGAAGGCCCTTTTAATACCCCCAGTACAGTTCCTAAGGGTCCATGTGCCCGCATGGTATACACTTTTGGCCTTTGAGTACTCCCTATGTAGGTACGGTGGGCCCAAAGTATATAAATATGTACTATTTGGGCACATGGACCCTTAGGGAATTTTGGATTCCTTAATATGACCCCAATTATGGTAACCCTAATCCCTACTAAACCCCCAATAGGCTAAACCCTCGTTTGGCCTCCTATGAGTTTCCAAGGGAGCCTTAGGCTCCTGGACCATGGTAGTGAGATCCCAAACCTTAGCCCCCAAAGCCCGAACCCTCCCCCAGAAAGCCGGTTTAGGGTTTAGGGTTTAGGGTTTAGGGGGTTTCGGAGGGTAGCAACTAAGACCGAAGTCTTAAGGCCTGAGAAGATTGAGCGGGCTCGACCTCAACCCTGATTCTCAGGCCGTTAAGCAAATCTTACACTACGCAGCATAGCCCAAAGGTGCTGGAAACCCCACTTGGAGGCTCATGGGTAGTAAGGGTTCCTTTAAGGGTCCCTTTAAAGGGATCTATAGGGATTCTATAAGGGTTTAGGGTTTAGGGTCTACTTGGAGGTTCAAGGATAGCTATAAGTACCGTTATAAGTAGGATATCTATGGTTATACCCTATGTTAGGGGCCATGAACCTCCAAATAAACCCCGACCGTAGATCCCGAAAACTGGTTTTGCATTGCAGTAAAACAGCGCAAAACTCTGTGAAAGCAATAGACTGATAACGCCAACAACCCTGTGGACAGAGTTCCCCTAACCTCCATTACTAGTCCGGGACACATCGGAGAGCTGCGTGCGGCTGCTGCTCACTTCAGCCTCCAGTGCATCCTTGGACGCCTGTGCCTGCTTGATGGGCTTAGCTTCGGGCTCCAACCCTGAACCCTAAGCCCAAACTTATCCTTGGGTTTAGGGTTTAGTTCTTCGGGTACAGGGGGTCGTTTTCTTGTTCAGGTGGCCCTGGTTGAGTCCAGCATCTAGCAGTATTCAGACCTGTAGTAGCCATCCAGGCCCTAAACTCTAAAGGCTGTACTGCTGTCTTACGCTTACGGCCGTATACACATACACAGGAGAAGCCAGAAAGTTGCCATTATCCTCATACCCTTAAGCTAAAGCATAGGGAGTCCCTGCACTAATCTTCCTAAATCCATGTTCCAACTTTCTGGGCTTCACTACTTCTTAGTAAGTAAAGTTATAAGTACCTTAATAGGGGTTATAAGTAGCTATGAGTAGAGTTACCCTAATTATAACCTAGTTACTAAGTCCCATGATCCTTTAAGTATAGACCCCAATCAAGGCGCGAAGCGGGCTTGACATCCCCAGGAGTCGCCTTTGTGGAACTTATGGGACATGACAAACAAAAACAGTACCCTGCTTAGTTGCCGGCACTGCTAGGGTTTAGGGTTTACCCAGGGGCTCCATATAGGATTCTAACTAAGAACCCCCAAAAGGAACTACTATGGAGCCTCAGGGTTTAGGGCAGAGATCATGCAAGATTTTGTCGGGGCATGGGGCGCAAGGCTTGCCACATGACCTAAGCCCCGAACCCCAAACCCGAAAAACCGTAAACACTTGTAAGACCTACCTTATGGTCTCCGTTGTACTTCTGTTTTTGGTTAACCAGTTTTACGGCTAGGATCCTACAATATAGTTTTTGGTTAACCAGGAAAAGGAACTACAATGGAGACCATAGGTAGGAGGGGAAATGGGAAAGCACAGTTTGGAGGCTGGGGCATCAGAGCGAACAGACAGGATCCATAGTTCGTAACCTCGGCATATATAGCCTCTTTCAAGGGCTGCGCGGCATGGCGGCCAGGATTGAAAGCAAGGTTTTAATAATCGAGGGGCCTGAACAAATGGAACAAAGCTTTATGGAGAGTCAATAGTACGGAACCTCGACAATGGTTTTGGCAATTATTTAAAACCCTAAACCCTAAATCCTAAACCCTAAACCGTAGGCTACTATAGTACTAGAATCCAGAACCCGGAAGCTGAGTGAAGACAACCGCCCGCAAGCCGTTCTACAACCTGCTGTACCGACGAAGTCCCCCCCAGACCACGGCAAAACATGTAATCTCCTGAGGCCAAAACCTGCTACAGTAGCCTAAACCCACCACGGGACCGCCACCACAAATCCGCGAGATTAACACACGCCAAACTTATAGGATCCTTAAGGGAGGGTGTTCAAGGGGGGAGGGTATAAGGAATCCTTAGGGGACTGTAAGGGAACCTTAGGGAGTACTAGGGAGAATTAGGGATCACTAGGCTATATACCCCCCTTGGACCCCCCTCCCTTAAGGATACTACAACAAACACATGCCGAAGCCCTAAATCTGGAGCCCAGGCCCGACGCATCCAAGCCAAATCCCTAAAGCCCAAAAACAAAGTCTAAGGCCAAAGCCTTACCTAAATCATAATCCCTAAACCCCTGTAGTACTGTGGGCCCAATGTACCCATATAGGGAGTACTTCAAGGCCTATGTATATACTATCTAAGTACATGGACCCTTAGGGAATTTGAAGACCCTATACTAAGTTATGTCCTTATAAGAGCCCTTACACTATAGTATCCCTTATCGACCCTTCAAAGGAACCCCATTCTAAAGAATAGGGCCCCTATATTAAGCCCCAGTACCCATATAGTACTCCTTATAGACCCGGCCCTTTAAAAGGAACACTAAAAGGAGCCCCGTTGTAACTATTAAGGCGCGAAATAAGGACCAAAACCCAAACTCGAAACACCCAAAAGCTTATAATATACGGGCCTTCATAATTACCTAATTGCAAAAATTTTGGAGATTACCTACCATATTTTTTTGTATAACAGAACCCTATTCCAACTATTCAGGCCCCTCATGACATCGCCGAAGGCCCCTATATCATAGTAGAACTATGGCAGTAATTAGCCCTTATAGTAGCCCTTTTAAAGGAACCCTATAGATCCCTAAATAAGAAGCCCTTAAAGAATCCATAAGCTTATACTTTAGTTCCCCAAGAGCCCCTATATTCTGACATCCCCCACCTCGGTTATTATAGAACCCTACAAGAGATCCCTTATAGTAACCCTTATATAGAGCGCTTTAACATAATTATATAGTAGGATTCCCAATATTATGATTTAAGGTATATTCTTTAATTGCGGCCCCCTATATTCTGACATCGCCGGACCTCGGTCACGTCGCCCCGCAGAGACTCGAGCGCGACGCGCTCCGCTTCAAGCTCGCGCTGCGCCGCGGCGAACCTGGGACGGTCTCTGAGGGGTTCCTTTAAGGGTCCCTTTCAAGGGGAGGGATTAGGGTCCCTTTAAAGGGATCTATAGGGATTCTATAAGGGTATAGGGTTTAGGGTCCCTTTCAAGGGATCTATAGGGCTTCTATAAGGGCATAGGGTTTGGGGTCTTCCTGGAGGTTCATGGGTAGTCATAAGTGGGGTTACAAGTCCCCTAATATGGGCTAGCAGCACTACTGCTACTACTACTGCTGTTGCTACTACTACTACTACTCCTACTACTGCTACTACTCCCACTACTGCTACTGCTTCTGCTACTACTTCGACGACGACGAACTTCCACTTCTTCTAAGCCTAAGTTGGTGCCAAGCGGCTTCTCGGTCAACGATGCCAACTCATTGGCTGACAGACTCTGGGCGTCAGAAGCCTCCTGTCGACAGTTTGGGTTTATGCCTCGTGGCGGCTGCTTTTAGGTCCTGGAACGCATTAGTGAAAAGGATTCACGGTCCTGGGATCGTAAAACTTACAACAGTTGAGGATAGCGCGCATGGGGTTTAGGGCGAGCACTTTCCCTTGCTTTCAGGGCATGTTAAGCATGTCAAAAACAAGGGTTTGAATTCATGCGAACCGCTTGTTCGGCTTTGAAAGAACTTTTCGCCTGATGCAGAAAACAAACCCTGAAGCCTAAACCCTAAAACTCTAATTAAACCTAAACCCTAAACTCTAAACCATAAAACTTCAAACCCTAAACCCTGAAACTCTAAACCCTAAAACTTTAGACCGTAAATCCTAAACCCCCAAAACCCTCTACCAGCTTCAGAGGTGGTCCCCTCCCCAGGATTCCAACCAGTGCCTTTTGGGTTCAAGAAGACCCTACGTGTCCATGTATCGAAATGCGGCTGATGGTATATATCCTGCATTACCTTTAAAGGGATCTATACGGGTACCTTTAAGGGGCTCCTTTAAGGGATCTATAGGGTTTAGGGTTTGATGATATAAATCCTGCATTACCCATAATAGGGAGTATACCACTATTCCCATAGTTTGAGGTCCTTAAGGTAATGCAGGATAAATATCACCAACAGTAGTACATATACTTTGGCCCCAAAGTACTTGAAAGCCAACGTATATACCATCTGGGCACATGGACCCTTAAACCCTAAACCTTGATGGTACCCTTATAGAACCCTTATAGGAACCCTTAAAGGAGCCCCCTAAAGGAATCCTGCTTGGGCACATGGACCCTTAGGAGGAGCTTCAGGCTCTGTACTGAAAGGATCATGGGACTTAGTAACTCGGGTTCTTAAAGGGCTCTTTAAAGAGATCTTTAGGCTTCCTTAAAGGGATCTATAGGGTTCCTTAAAGGGATCTATGGGGTTTAGGGTTTAGGGTCTTCTTAAAGGATCATGGGACTTAGTAACTAGGGTTATAATTAAGGTAGCTCTACTTATAGCTACTTATAACCCCAAGTAAGGTACTTATAACCTTACTTACTAAGTCCCATGATCCGCCATGCCGGGTGTCATGGCTTGGGGCTATGCCAAGCGTACTATAGGGGCCTTTATAGATAGAAGGGTTCCTTAAAAGGGGCCTATAAGGGCTTCTATGAGGGATCTATAAGGGTGCTATGATGTAGGGGCCTTAGTAATTTCAATCGGGTTTTGGGGTACAGTAGATATCATCTCTAGAACCCCTCCACCCCCCCTCCCACAATAGTATCGGCAATTATTTAGGCCCTTGCATTCTGGACTTTGAAGTAACCAAGGAGAAAAAAGGTATAGGCTTTTATTTCATAATGGTTCCTTCAAGGAACAGGTACCAAAAAAAACATTCAAGTATGGTACTCCAAACCCCTGCATTATACCTCAAACGGCTGAGTCCTCGACTCCTCTTCTTGAACCCTGAACAGCATCACGGCCCAGAAGAGCTTAGACCCAGAGGCCCCATAGTAGCTCCTTTTCGGGATTCATATTTAGAATCCTATAAGGTAATCCCAAAAAGGAACTATTCTGGGGCCTCTGGGCAGACCTAGCACCCGAAACGTACGCTGAACTCTGAGAGGAGCCTGCTTGCTCAGCTGGAGCTGCTCCTTCAGTTCCGTCTGCCCGGCCTGCCGTGGCTGCAACGGTTAGGCGAGAATGACTACAACGAGAGGGATATATAATATACATATATGGACATACATGCATATATATATATATATATATACGCACATATCAAAATGAGCGCATGCATGCACATATATATATATATATATGTATGTATATGTATATGTATATGTATATGTATATGTATATGTATATGTATATGTATATGTATGTGTATGTGTATGTGTATGTGTATGTGTATGTGTATGTGTATGTGTATGTGCATATGTATATGTATATGTATATGTATATGTATATGTATATGTATATGTATATGTATATGTATATATATATATATATATATGTATATTATATATATATATATATATATATATATATATATATATATACGGGGCTTCACTAGATGAGTAGACGAGGGTTTTGTGGCAAATTATGCACTACTGAGACAGGGAAGTTCAGGGGATACCAGTGCCGCACGTCCATCTCAGAGTGGAAATGTGGACGGTGCTAGGGTCCATGGTGCCGCCCATGTTGGGGATTCGTAAATGGTGGTTTCCTTTTCGAGGTCTCTCTAAGCATCGATCCTACTAGATTAAGGGCCCCTTTCTCAAACTCGCTCATAAACAACTGCCGGGAACTGGCAGCTAATATGAGGGCCTTAATAATTCGACTAGAGTTTTGGTGCCTGTTATACTATACTTATTCGCCTCGGCCCCGGCCGAAGCGGTCAGAGAGTCAGAGGTTCCTATTCGGATACCTCTTAATCCCCTCCCCAGTGACCCCACCAAAAATCGGGGCCACTGCCCCCCCCCCACCCCAGCATGAAAAATTGGGGCTCGCCTGTAAGGCTGCAGTAGCAAGGGAGTTTCAAACCTGAATTCCTAACCCTACACCCTAACCCAGCCTGAAAAACTTTCACCTGCACCCGAAAGCACAACGGCCCCCGCCCCCGCCCTGCCCCCACCAAAATTCGTACTGATACTACCACTACTAATACTACTCACAATCATCGTGCTTCGTGTTGCTATGAACATTACTTTTACTATAAGTGCGATTCCAACTGTTACTTTTTTCCTACAAGAGCTTGCTGCAGATAGTAGCCACTCGCGGCATGCGCGTACAGCCGGGCCGAGGCGGACGACGCGCAGCGTTTCAAATTATAAGAACCCCCCAAAAATAGTATAGTCCTTAGAATAGCCCTTGTAGTAGCCTTATAGACCCTTTCAAGGAACCCTATTCTAATCATTTAAGGCCCCTATCCTAAATAAATCCTATAGATCCCGTAAAGGTTAATTACCCTAAACCCTAAAGCTGTGGAGAACCCTTAATATAGCCCCCTTATAGTAACTGCGTCAAAGGGGCCCTTTAAAGGAACCCCCCAAGGCTAGTATGGGTAATTAAATTATCAAGGCCCTTTCAATACTTTAGCAGCCTCCAGCTCGCTGATCTTGCGCAAGGATTCATCGCCGCTCAGCTGGTAGTTCTGCTCCTGCCGGTTTAGGGGCCTTAGGGGTTTCTAGGGGTTTATAGGGGCTTGTCGGGCTTTACAGGGGTTGATAGGGGTTTGTAGGGGTTGAGGGATTAGGGGGGGCAGTTGTCTCTAAGCTTCGCGCCCAAAGGCTAAACATGCATACACCGTAAGTCTCTCGCATGCATCAAAACCCTGCAGTTTGGGAGATCCCCTTGCCGTAGTCGTGGCTCCTAAAGCAGGCATGACAAGAAAGAGCTTGTATTCGCAGTGATACAGGAGCCTTAACGATTAGAATCGAGTTTTGGGTCATATCTTACGATAGTCCTAACAAGCAATCCTAAGGAATGGATCGTGCTTGTTCTTTCGCATTGTTGATTTGTTGGTTCAGCGCATGGAGATGCGGGTGCTTATACCATTGCAACTTAGTTTCATAGTTCAATGACTACCCTAAGGCCCCAAAGTAGTTCCTTTTTGGGGTTCGTATATAGAATCTTGTAAGGGGGTCCCAAAAAGGAACTACTATGGGGCCTCTGGGTATTGCAAGTTGAAGAGATCGTTCTGATGGATTAGACGTAGGTGCACTGTACTATAGCAGAGCTAGCAAAGATACTAGAACGGAGTGACGCCCCTGGTACGTCGGGCTCCATTAAGCAATGCTAGCAAAAACCCGGCCAATGTAGGAACCTGATTAAGAAAGCCTGGGCCTATAACCCCAAAATAGTAGGAACCATACAAGGAACCCGTTTCCGAATCAGGTTCCTGCAAAGATTCTCTGAGCCAGGTCCGCCGGCTGCACCTTCTCCCTGAACCCTAAACCCTCAACCCTAAAGCCTAAACCGCGATTCGCAGCTCTGCCCCTGGCGGGTGTTGCCAGCCGGGCTCCTTCTTCCGATCGGAGGGGCTTAGGGTTTAGGGTTATAGGGTTTAGGATTATAGGGCTGAGGGTTTAAGGATACAGGGTTTAGGGTGGGGTTCTCCTCCATACGCAAGGATGGCCTGTTGGTAATCGGCCATCCTTGCCTGGTACTCCGTCTCCTAGCTTTCCCTGAGGGTCCGTGTACCAAAACGGGATATACTTTGGGCCCAATGTACCCATAGGAGTACTTTAAGGCCAATGTATATATTATTTAGGGACATGGACCCTCGGGGTTCTGCAACGTATTTGACGATAGCTGTGAGCTGCTGCTCCACAGACAGAAGACAGAGTCAGCGGCCATGACGTCGATGCGGCTGCTTGGATTAAGTAAGGTATCTTCAGCATTACGGAATACAGGTGTTTCGTTTTTTATGTGAAACCAGAACCCTGGGTTTGAAACCCTTTAACCCTGAAACATAAACCCTGGAAGCCTCAACCGCACACCATACGCCCTGAATCGCGACCCAAAAGCTAAAAGCCCTACAGACCCTACGCCCGAAATCTATTCTCATCCCTACCTATATGGTCTGCATTGTAGTTCCTTCTCTTTTGGTTTAACCAGATTATCTAGGTTGGCCCCTTAAAGCCTTGGAAAATAATTATTCGTAAATAGGGTCCTGTTAAGCCCAATAATGGAAAATTATAAAACATCCCAAAGGCCTACCTCGTTATATATGTAGGATCCTGTAAGGTAACCCCCATAACAGGCTGTCCGAGACCGCAGGCCCAGACCCGAAAATGGCACGCCTAAACTCTAAATCCTCGCCCCGGAACCTAAATCCCAGAGCCCCGACCTCTCTGCCCTAAGCCCACTAATGAAGAATTCGGGATGTAAGTTTCAGGGCATTCGTGAATAATGCCTCGAAACCTAAATTCCGAATTCTAGACTCCGGTGCGTTTTAGAAAGCCTACATCTAAAACCTAACCCCGTGACCCCTTAGTTCAAAACCCCTAAACCCTACCTTAACCCCAGATAACCTACCTTGTTAAGGATTTCTACAAGGAAACTATAATAAGGAACCCTAAAAAGTAGGTGATTCATTAGGGTACAGGTATAACCCCAAGCCAGGATCTTCCTGTCTCGACAGCGTCTCTCGGAGATCCTTCATCTCCTGCGCTCTTTAGGGCTTGGGGTTTAGGGCGTTTAGGGCCTATGGAACCAAATTTCCGCTAAAAGTTCTGTAGTGTTTAGATGAGGATTGTTCGGGTGGGGGGACCATTCAGAGTTCTGGAGTTTAGGATTCAGGGTTCCTCTCAGAGTTTGGAGAGTCCTGAGGGTGGAGGTGAGAGGGAGAGGGGTGGAGAGGGGTGGGTGGTGGAGGGTGAACCACGAAGAGGAACTACTATGGCGCCTAAGGGAAAGACGGATCCCTCGGCCCCCAGTGAGAAGGCCTTGTACCCCCAAGCCCCGACCTCGCCTGCCGCAGCTTTTCCTCAGCCTGCTGATGCTCAGCAGTCGCGGTGCTCCCGCGCGCCAGCTCCTCTGGGTTTAGGGTTATAGGGTTTAGGGGCTTTAGGGTTTAGGGTATATGGTCTATAGGGTTTAGGGTATATAGGGTTTAGGGTCTTGAAGGTTTAGGCTTTAGGGTCTTTAGGGTTTAGGGTATATGGTCTTTAGGGTTTAGGGTATATAGGGTTTAGGGTCTTGAAGGTTTAGGCTTTAGGGTCTTTAGGGTTTAGGGTATATGGTCTATAGGGTTTAGGGTATATAGGGTTTAGGGTCTTGAAGGTTTAGGCTTTAGGGTCTTTAGGGTTTAGGGTATATGGTCTATAGGGTTTAGGGTATATAGGGTTTAGGGTCTTGAAGGTTTAGGCTTTAGGGTCTTTAGGGTTTAGGGTATATGGTCTATAGGGTTTAGGGTATATAGGGTTTAGGGTCTTGAGGGTATATGGTCTATAGGGTTTAGGTATATAGGGTTTAGGGTCTTGAAGGTTTAGGCTTTAGGGTCTTTAGGGTTTAGGGTATATGGTCTATAGGGTTTAGGGTATATAGGGTTTAGGGTCTTGAAGGTTTAGGCTTTAGGGTCTTTAGGGTTTAGGGTATATGGTCTATAGGGTTTAGGGTATATAGGGTTTAGGGTCTTGAAGGTTTAGGCTTTAGGGTCTTTAGGGTTTAGGGTATATGGTCTATAGGGTTTAGGGTATATAGGGTTTAGCGTTTTGGAGGTTTAGGCTGGGTCTTTCGGGTTTAGGGTATATGGTCTATAGGGTTTAGGGTATATAGGGTTTAGGGTCTTGAAGGTTTAGGCTTTAGGGTCTTTAGGGTTTAGGGTATATGGTCTATAGGGTTTAGGGTATATAGGGTTTAGGGTCTTGAAGGTTTAGGCTTTAGGGTCTTTAGGGTTTAGGGTATATGGTCTATAGGGTTTAGGGTATATAGGGTTTAGGGTCTTGAAGGTTTAGGCTTTAGGGTCTTTAGGGTTTAGGGTATATGGTCTATAGGGTTTAGGGTATATAGGGTTTAGGGTCTTGAAGGTTTAGGCTTTAGGGTCTTTAGGGTTTAGGGTATATGGTCTATAGGGTTTAGGGTATATAGGGTTTAGGGTCTTGAAGGTTTAGGCTTTAGGGTCTTTAGGGTTTAGGGTATATGGTCTATAGGGTTTAGGGTATATAGGGTTTAGGGTCTTGAAGGTTTAGGCTTTAGGGTCTTTAGGGTTTAGGGTATATGGTCTATAGGGTTTAGGGTATATAGGGTTTAGGGTCTTGAAGGTTTAGGCCTTAGGGTCTTTAGGGTTTATAGGGTATATAGGGTTTAGGGTCGTTAGGGTTTAGGGTTTAGGGTCTTTGGGGTGTAGGGGGATTGTAGGGCTTAGGGTCTTTAGGGTTTAGGGTCTTTGGGGTTTAGGGTATATAGGGTTTAGGGTCTTTAGGGTTTAGGGTTTATGGTCTTTAGGCTTTAGGGTATATAGGGTTTAGGGTCTTGAAGGTTTAGGCTTTAGGGTCTTCAGGGTTTAGGGTATATAGGGTTTAGGGTCTTTAGGGTTTAGGGTCTTTAGGGTTAAGGGTTTCGGCTCTTTAGGGTTTAGGGTATATAGGGTTTAGGGTCTTGAGGGTTTAGGGTTTAGAGGTTTAGGGTTTAATATAGGGGCCTTAATAATCAGAATAGGCTTTTGGGGCCCAGTATGCCATAGCCATAAAACGGAACAGAATTTCAAGGTTTTGGGTTATTTAGGGGGTCTTGAACTTCAGAGTTCTATGATTTATTGCTGAAGGGCTCTTGCAGGGAGTTGGTGTTTGGGTGAGGGTTTAGGGGGTCTGGTTGCTTTTGGGGTTGCAAGCTTTGGAAACTAGTGACTTGCACGTCGATCCCAGGGTTTCCAGCGACCTGGATGCAACGGTACCGCAAATAGTCATGCACCAACTGTGTCCAAGGAAGCTGCACTTGTGGAAGCGTCTGAATCCGCCCACTCCACTCGTGGACTTCAACTTGGTGTCCGCCACGTCACTTGTCGGGCGGAAGATCAGCAACTAATCTCGCCAATCTGCTCTCGGCTAAATGCCTAAACATACCAGTACGTGTTCGATATGTAACCTAGTATACTAAAGGTTAAGAAACTGGGCTTTTAGTTTAGGTAACCAGGGAGCAAAAAGTATAAACTGTTATTTCATAACGGTTCCTTTAAGAAAAAAGTATTAACGTATGGTTCTCCAAAGCCCAGCAAAGGTTAAGAAGAGGAGAATCTCAATCTGTCTCAGACTCGTCGTCCGAAGTCGTTTGGAAGACCGGGAGGTAGGGAACACGCGAGGGTCTCAGAACTGAGAGTGCTTGTTGCTGACGGCCTAGGTTCCTGCTTATACTCGCTATTGTAATTCTTTTTTTGGGCTTACCTTCTAGGATCCTACTACATCCAAACCAAAAAAGGGACTACAATGGAGACTATAGGTACTTAGCCAGTCCGCTCCTCCAAGTTCCCGGAGACTCCAATATCCCTTAATTCAGGAGTCTACCTTAAATGATAATAGGGATCCTACTCTAATTTAAGGTATATTCCTTAATTAGGGGATATTGGAGTCTCTGGGTTAATTATCCGAAACATCACCAAGCCCGGTACTGTGAAGGAGAGAGACGGCTATCAGGATTTCGAGGGGAGTGGTTCCTTTTGGGGTTTAGGGTATTTAGGGTTCGGGGTTTAGGGTTATCGTTACGAGTCCTAAATCCTGCGCCCGAACAAATGCAACATCAATCACTGCACGGATTTGAAGTGGGTTGGTATCTGCTATGACAGCAAACTTCAGTTTCTACCTAGGTTCGGTGTCGGGGATTCCGACGCCGGCCCTATGCCTGAACACCATCGAGACCCATTGAACACCTGATCAAAAACCAAACCGCAAAACCCCAATGCCGAAAACACAAAGCTTTTAAAGCCACTGTCGTCCCTGGACCAGAAACAAAACCTCGCGACTAAACAACCCTAACCCTCTCACCCTAAATACCACTAAACTCTGGGCTTTTTAAGGCTCAGGGCCCTAAACCCTTTTCGCCTGTAGCAGCCCGTGTAGACCCCTATTATGGGTGCCTCCCCGATAGATCCCCCCACCTCAGCGTGCTCCGCTTGCCATCGCTCCACGTCAGCGAGCGCTTCTTGGGCCGTCTGTGCCTCGACACTTTAGGGTTCCCTTTCAGTGAGTGTAGGGTTTAGGCTTTAGGGTTTAGGAGTTAGAGTTTAGGTTTTCCTTTAAAGGAGTGTAGGGTTTAGGGTTTCCTTTGAACATTAATGGACTGTAACCTGGGCTCCCATAAGGGATCTACAGGGTACTATAGGGATTGAAGGATCAGGGCTTCAGGGCTTTCGGGCTATGCTTCGGCCTTAGGGTTTAGGGCTTCGGGTTTAGGGTCTATTGCTTAGGGTTTTGGGTTGTTTGGGCTTAGGGTTTATAGGGCTTAGGGTTTCCGGCTTAGGATCAGGGGCTCTGTGGGAGTTTAGGGCTTAGGGTTTTAGGCCTTGCGTCATTTTGGGATTGTTAGGTCTGGGGTTGCATGCGGAGTTGCAGTGGAGGGCATTTCCTCATGGGAAAGGGGATGTGCGGAGCTTAAAGCTTACCCATTTGCTGTTAAAGCCGAATCCACACACCCTAAACCCACAACTCTACACGCAAAACCATGAACATAGGCCCGAAATCCTGAACCTGGAACCCAAACCCAAAACACTTGCCGAAACCCCTATTTCTTATAGATCCCTGAGAGTCCTTTAAATGAAACCCCAAACACCAAACCCTAAACCCTACAAACCCTAAACCCGGAACCGAAACCCTAAACCGAAACCCCTAAACCCCATACCTTAGAAGCTGCCCCCATCCTGTAATAGTTACCATAAGGATTATATTAGGGCCCTTACAGGGTGGGGGCAGCTTCTAACCCATACCCCTAAACCCTAAAACCCTAAACCCGAAACCCTAAAGCGAAATCCCTAAACCCCAAACCCCTACTTGGAGGATCATGGGACTTAGTAAGGGCATAGATCCCTTTAAGGAACCCTATAGATCCCTTTCAAGAGCCCTTTAAGAGCCCAAACCCTGAGATGCCTTGGACGCAACTGCATCCTCAGACTCTCGCAGCTCCAGCTCCAGCTCTTCCGCCCTGAGTACTACCAACGCAACCAACTACCCTGTAGGGTCTTAGGGTTTAGGTTTAGGGTTTAGATTTCGGGTTTAGGTTTAGGGTTTAGGGTTTAGATTTAGGGTTTAGGGTTTAGGTTTAGGGTTAAGGTTTAGGCTTTAGGGTTTAGGTCTAGGGTGTAGGCTTGCAGAGCCTAAGACCCACTGTGAAGGATCACAACGCTTCCGCTCATGGGTACTTGGCAAGAAAGAGGGGCTGGTTCGTGATTCTTTCTTGAGGCTTTGGGGTTTCCTGTTGAGGGATGCTTTCTGTGCAATCCGTTCAGGTAGCCGTAAGCACAACTTACAGAGGTACCGTTTATCTACGGTGTACCCCGAAAAGGGCCCCAAGCTAGGGGAATAAAACTTTAAGTTTAAGGCGTGTTGAATGTAGGTTTCATGATGTTGGGTTTACTTACGGTCACGGTAGGGCATAAACTCGGGTTTAAGGTTTGGCCTACAATAAGTCTAAGAGCTCATGGGGTGGAGGGCTTCTTCCCCAGCCTACAGCCTAAACCCAGGACGCCCAAACCCTAAACCCCAAAGCCATGACCCTCAAGCAACCCCTAACCCAGACTCCAAACCCCACACCACAAGCCCGAGACACCAAAGTAAGCCCTAACCTTAATAATTAGAATAGGGTTTTGGGGGTATATTACACTACAATTATCATAAGCAACCCCCTAATAGTATTGGTACTAATTTAAGCCCCTATATCACCACCTAACCCGAATCGAGAGGCAATGCCCTAAACTCCTAACCCCTAAACCCTAGAAACCCTAGAAGCCCCATGATGCCATATAATAAACCCTAAACCCTCAAACCCTGAACCCCTCCCTAAACCCCTAAACCCTAAACGTCCCTAAACCCTAAACCCGAAGCAAAGCCAGATCTCGTCCGAGTCACTTCCGCCGGAGCTTCGCCAACTCCTCAGAGGCCTCGGAGAGTTCCTGTCATCAGGATTCTCGGTCTATAAGTTTCAGAATACAATAATCAGATTACTATTATTAGAATAATTATAGTAATAAAACGAATAATTAGAAAAACTAACAACGATTATTATTAGTAGTAATATTATTATAAACATGTCAAAATAGTGACGTTGATTATGGTCACACTCTAAGCGTGCTACTACTACAGAACATGCAATGAACAACCATGCTAAACGTAGACGTCGCCGTAGTAGTAGTAGTAGTAGGAGGAGGAGGAGGAGGAGGAGGAGGAGGAGGAGTAGCAGTAGGAGCAGCAGCAGCAGCTGCAGACGGAGTGTTCATGGAGGGTTTAGGGTTTAGGATTTCCGGTTTAGGGATTCGGGATGTGTGAGTGTTTCCTGTGAATGCTATAGAGGGTTCTATAAAGGTTAGTCAATAGGGCTTGTGGTTTGGCTTTCGCCTTCTGCTTCAAGTCAACGACACAAACCCCTCCTGAAGCTGGCGCAGCCCTGCGGTGGTTTATGGGTTCCGGTTAACCCGAACCCTTCGCGTTAACCCGAACCCCAACTGGGGTTAACCTGAACCCCAACCCTGGCTGCGAGGCCAGGCAAAGAACTTAGATTAATAAAAACGTCTTCCTAACACACACACAAGCGGGAGAAAGCCACACGAAACGCTTCAGCGGCGTGAAAAGCGAAGAACATAATCAGGAATGAACCGTCTTCTCCAACAAACAAGAAAGCTTTAAGTGGGGCCCTCCTTGCAAATCGAGGTGAGAAGGAGGGGAGCTGCGCCCCCCACCAACCCCCGACTCTCTTAAGCCTCGAGAGCCGAATCAACACACCCTGTCCAACCCACAAAAATAGAAAAGCCACAAAAAACAATATATATATATATATATATATATATATATACATTTTTTGGGGGGGGTGTTAAAGACGAAGAAAATAAGAATACTCAAAAACAAAACGTCTTCTCCAACAGCAGAAGGCCTTCTTAAGCAACGCCTCCGTTCGCTTAAGCCGCGAAAAACCTAATAGAAACAGTCTTCCACACATAAGAGGCGGAGAGCCACACGAAAACGCTTCAGGGGGGTAGCAAGCGAAGAAGAGAACAACAAACCAGAATCACATGTCTTCTCCAACAAACAAGAAAGCTTTAAGTGGCCCCGGGATTTGCCTTGCAAATCGGGAGGGTGGGGAGGCAACCCTGAATCTGAGCTTGTGGGTCCGGGTTGACCCCAACCCCTAACCTCAGGTTAGGGTTCGAGTTAATTCCAACTCTAACCTCGGGTTGGAGGTAAGAGAGCTAACTCGAACCCTCAATCTCAGGTTCAGGTTCAATCCGAACTCCAACCTCAGGTTGGGGTTTAACTGGTTACTAGTTACAACACGTAATTGTAAGCTTGCAAGGCCTCAATTCTCAACCCTGGGCCATAGAGTATTATGCAGCTGCGACAAGTAAACCGAGCTTGTGAAGACATCAACCTCTATACATACGGCCAAAGTGTCTAATAATTCCCGATGCCTGCCAGACACTCTTGCAGAAGCCTGAATATCGAATCAGGTGTAAATGCACATAGAGCAGAGAGCCCTCAGGAATGGTATGAAGTGGCTTCCCGATCCCCAACCCGTAGATGGCACCCACCCTCCTCAATCCCTGCCCCTAACACCGTGGAAGCCTCAGAACTTGAACCCGAAATCCCTCCAAGCTTGGTGGTTTTTGGCTTACGGTTAACCGGCCAGAACCCGTGAAACCTTGCACACCCCGGCAAGCTCGACAGCCTAGAGCCGTAGACCCTAAACCCAAACCCAAACCCTAATCAAACCCTAAACCTGAAACTAAACCCTAAAACCCCTAAACCCTATACCCCTAGATTGGATGTGCGACCTGCTTTGAGGATTCCTCTTTTGCTGCAGCAGCTGCGTTATCCTTCCACGGGCAACGACAGCAATAGCCTACCTATAGTCTCCATTGTAGTTCCTTTTTTTGGGCTTAGTCAGTTTCATATGTACGAACCTATAAGGTAACACCCCAACAAGAAAGCTGCAATGGAGACCATATGTAGTTCATGGTTGGGATAGTCTTAAACACGTAATTTCTATTCCTAACCGCCTTATTGGGCTTAATTAATAAGTACCCAGAAATATGCTAAATGTTGCCCCCGTTATGACAAAGTAGTGTAGTTTCTTGTAGTTCAGGTTGGGCTTGGGTGTAATATGGTCCAAACACTAGGCCCGTAGAGCTTTAGTTTAATGTAGGAACCCTGATTAAGAAACCTTGTATTGGGGTTCCTTATATGAATCTTACTATTTTGAGGTCATAGGCCCAGGGTTTTTTTAAAATCAGGTTCCTACATTAGGCTGTCCGGGTTGATGGGTGTCTCGAGGTGTATAACGGAGTAGAAGCAGGACCATCTTTCGCTCTGTCTATGTCGGCATATGTCTTAGCAGATACGTCACAGCGGGAACACTCAATCTATGTGTTTTTCGGCTGGGTCTTGGAGTGAAATGATTTCAATGTCTAGGGGTCTGGACGGGTATATAAGGCTTCAACTCTGGCACAGAGCGTCTCATGAGAGTACCGTTCGTGCAACCACGCGCGCAGTAGACTCCGCAACGTTGGTGCCACGCCGAGGAGCCCAAACCCGCAAGGTGCCAGAGAAGCGAAAGTGAGCGTCCGTCGCCCTGTTCAGCAACGCCAAACCGCCGCACGACCGTCCCAGGAATGCTGATGTTCCAACTCACTGGCTTCTTCTTTACAGCGGTCCCTGAAACCTAGGGGTGCTTGATTTCGGGGTCGGAAAATCAAGAGATTCTACTGTGCAGCTTCCGTACAAGCATCCTTTGCCTTCTGAAGCTTGCACATCCGCGGATGAGTACAGACGGACATTGAAGGCACCCGTATCATGCTGCCACAAGACAAGCTACATGCCCAAGCCCCACAAAGCCGAAATCTATTATCCTAAATCCGGCACTCCAATCCAGCAAGCCCCCCAAATCCTGCAGACTGAGATCGCAGTTGAGCCTACGACACACCGCGTTGTGACAAGCCAGCCCCGAATTCCCGCCTGAAATATTTCAAGCCCTAAACCGAAACCCCAAAACCCAAAACCCTAAAACCTAAGCCCTAAATTCAAGCGACCTACTTTTGATGATATAAATTTGCATTACCTTAAGGACCCAAAACTAAGGGAATTATGGTACATTCCTTATTATGGGAAATTTATATTATCAACCGTAGGAAGTGCTCCTGGTCCGAAACCGTAGGGTTCGCTATACCTGTTCTAAGGCTGCAAACAGTTTTCCCAAAAGCCTTGTATAGCATCTCCTTTGGGCCCGCACGCCCCGAAGTCCTAGCAGCCCTAATGCCGGGTTTTAAGCGTTCAAGGGTTTAAGGGTTTAGGGTTTAGGGTTTGGTTTTAAGGGTTCAAGGGTTTAAGGGTTTGAGGTTTTGAGGGTTTAGGGTTCAGGTTTCAGGGTATGGTAAGTCTCAGGCACTAAACCCGTAAACCCTTGAACCCTTGAAACCCTAAACCCTAAAACCCTTAAAACCCTTGAACCCTTAAAACCCTAAAACCCTTAAAACCTTGAACCCTTAACTTAAACCCTTGAACCCTTGAACCCTTGAACCCTTAAAACCCTTAAAACCCTAAACCCTAAACCCTTAAACCGTTGAACCCTTGAAACCCTAAACCCTAAACCCTTGAACCCTTAAATTAAAACCCTAAACCCTAAAACCCTTAAAACCTTAAACCCTTAACGCCCCAAACCCTTGAACCCTTAAACCTTTGAACCCTAGAACCCTTGAACCCTTGAACCCTTAAAAACCCTTAAAACCCTTAAAACCCTAAAACCCTTAACACCATAAAACCTTAAACCCTTGAACCCTTAAAACCCTAAACCCTAAAACCCTTAAAACCCTTAACACCCTTAACACCCTAAACCTAAGTAAGGTCTTGGGGCAACTGCGCCTCGGCCCTTGTCTTCTCGAGCTCCTCCTTGGCCACCGCAACTTCCTGACTCAGGGTTTGGGGTTCAGGGCTTTGGGGGCTCTAGAAGGGTTTCGGGGTTTAGGGGTTTAGGGGTTTAGGGTTTAGGGCTTTGGAGGGTCCAGATGGGTCTGTGGGCTTCATGTCGGAGTTTCCGAAAATAGGAGACCCTAATATAGTATCCTAAATAGTAGGATCCTTATTATAAGGACCCCTACATAAGGTACCCCTAATTTTTGGAAACTCCCATATAAGGTCATATACAGGTTCTGTAAGGACAGAAGGGTTTTAGAGTTCTGAGCGGGGGGTTCAGAGTTTCGGGCTGCAGAACGCTTTCCTGAGTAACATCCAATACCCCGTAATGGTCCATGTACCCAAATAGTATATACTTTGGCCCCAAAGTACCTATATAGGGACTACATGGTACACTTCCTGCTGTGGATCATGCAGGAATTCGTCCGAAGTCTAGGGATTACCCGGACCGGTTGAAAACCTACCTTGTCCGAGCTCCTTACTATGAAGATCTTATACTACAAGCCCTTAACACAAGTACTGTAGCTCACTTGCGGGGTTCAGGTACATCAGAGTTCCTGGAAAGATTAGGCTCCAATGAAGTTTACGTAGAGGGATGAATAATACCCCCAAAAAGGTTATAGGTTACCTACCCCTTTCGGGTGACAGCCTCCGCTCCTTCTGGAACTCTCTGACATAGAATCCCCTAAGGCTCCATGTATCCATAGTTTTTTCATGGACCTTCAAATACCTATATAGGGACCCCTTTGAGGCTTAAGTATCTACTATGAAGGCACATGGAGCCTTTGGAATCTTGAACCCGAAGCTAAGACCGACCGTGCCTGCTGCAAGCGCTCGATGTCGGCTGCAAGCTCAGCCTCGCGCTGCTTGGCACCCGCCAAAGCCTTCCAACATGAAGATGATGGCTTGGGGCCCAAGGCAGTGAAGATGAAGCCATGAATACGTTGCGTATTGTTGCAGATGGGAGTTTAGGGTTTAGTCGAGGCTCCGGGTTTCGAACAAAGCACCCGCCAACATCTTGAGCTGGTATCTAGTCGGACCCCCAAACCCTTTGGAGGATCTTATGCTTAATCTGGAAGAGATTCTGCTGTGTAGGCTACCGTCTCTTCTCAATGTCCCAAACGTTTCAACCTTGATGGGAGGCCAAAAGGGGGCCTTAAGATTCTTGGGGTAGGGATTCCTTAATATGAACCCTATTCTGGGAACCCTAGTCCCTACTAAACCCCCATCGGCTGTTTAAGCCCTTTTGGCCTCCTTTGAAACCTCACGTTTCAAAATGAAGCCTTAAATTTATGTAGACCCCCAATTAAGGACCAGCTATTAACGGGCCCGTGGGGGTCCTCGCAGAGTGCAGGGTTAACCTCAAAGCCTCAACCCAAACACGAGTTTGCCACCTCCTTCGATGACTCCTCCATTGCGGCAGCCGCAGCTTGATCCTGGCATTTCGGTCTCAAACATGAACAAACCTTGTAGGCCCTTAACCCCTAAACCTCAAAACGCTAAACCCGTAAACCCACACCCCCAAACCCCTAAACCCCTAAACCCCTAAAACCCTAAACCTAAATTCCTAAACCTAACCCCTAAACCCCTAAACCCCTAAACCTAAAATCCTAAACCTAAACCCCTAAACGCTAACCCTAGACAGTTGTAGGGTCTCGTCTCGTGCTTCGAGTTTCAGGTATTAGTCTTCGATCGCTTCAGGGTCTAGGTCACCTCTTTTAGATTTGGGGTTTAGGGGTCTAGGGGTTTAGGGTTTAGGGTTTGGGGTTTAGGGGTTTGGGGTGGAGAACTTGTAACCCCACTTATAACTACCCATGAACCTCCAAGTATATAGACCCTATATCCTGTACCCTTGTAGAATCCCTAGAGATCCTGTAAAAGGACCCTTAAAGGAACCCTTATAACTATGACCATGAACCTCCAACTGCCCTATTTGGGGCCCTCAGCGCCAAACCGCAACGCCTTCAACACTAGAACTTCGGCCTTCGAAAGCCTAACCGTAAACCCCACAAGCCTCACCCTGAGCACGTTAAACCCTGAAAGCCTAGATAACTCTACACCCTAAGCCCTTTGAACCCTGAAAGCCTATATAACTCAACACCCTAAGCCCTTTGAACCCCAAAAGCCTACCTCTAAACCCTAAGCCCTTTAAACCCCTAAAAGCCTAACTCTAAACCCTAAGCCCATAAAACCCTAAAAGCCCAACTCTAGACCCTAAGCCCTTTAAAACCTAAAAGCCTCACCGCCCTCAAAAAAAAAGCCAAGCCGTGAGAAGGCCTTGGCTTTCGTCTCTTCCAGACTCTCGGAGGCCTCCGCCACTTCCTGTCGCCCATTCCCCAAGGGTCCAACAGGGTTAGGGGTTTCGGGCTTAGGGTTTGGGGTTTAGGGTTTGGGGTGTAGGGTTTAGGGTTTGGCTTTTCGTTTGGTTTGGGGCTTAGGATGGTAGTTATGTAGGGCTGTATTCTGGGAGAGTATATGATTATTGGGACCCTTGGCTTAACGGGACCCCCATGTAACCTTTTAAAGGGCTCTGATATTTCTCACTAGGAGAAAATTCTGGGCGATATAAAAGGTAATGGGTTGGGGGTCTAGAAAAGGTTTAGGGGTTTAGGGTTTGGGGCGTAGGGCTTTTGAATGTAGTGTTTAGGAAGTTGGGGATTCGGGGATTTAGATATTGTGAAACAGCAGTCGATGCAAAACTGCTATGGCAAGCACGGCCAAGGCTGTCTGTCAGGCTTGCATTCGCAACACCAAGGCTTCACCCTAAACCCTAAACCCTAAACCGAGGACCCAGGAAGCAATCACGCTTTCACACTTCTCGGATGAGGTCACGACCGAAAGCCGAAGAGACTCCGATGCCAATCGGTTTAAGGGTTTAGGGTTTAGGGTAACTCGAGATAACAGAGGTCAAAGACCGAACTTGTCCTTGATTGCTTTGCAATCCTCACAGCTGCAATTCTTGCAAAACTTGGACGGCGGCGGCTTCGGAACCGACAGGAAATCGTGCTTGAAGGATTTCTTGGCCAAACTCGTGAGAATCTTTCCCGATGCTAGGGCCTCTGGGATTGCCGGCAAAATCTTGAGGTCACTGCAAGGGAAGCCCAGCTCCTTCAACTTTGATTTCGCGCCCTCGGTGGCCGTCTTGGCCCACTGCGACCCGCCCAGCATGTCACACACGATGGTCCAGCTCGGCCCGTGAACGAAAGTCCGGGGCACTCGGGCGTGTCGGGGCCCATTATACAAAAGATACAGTAAGCAGCCCCCAAACAGTATAGGTGATTATTAAGGCTCCGAGGGGAACCAAGAATCTCTCTTTTCGCTTGTGGGTACGCGATACACTATCCTAGAATCCCAAAACAGAAAGAACTCTCTCAACAACAACCCCTAAGGGTCCATGTACCTAATTGTCCTTCAGGTACTCCCTATATGAGTACATTGGGCCCAAAGTGTATACTATTTGGGCTACATGGAGCCTTTGGGTCTAAAGGAAAGGGTCGGGGGTTCCTGGAGAAGGCAAGAGCTGAACGCCCATGTACCGAAGGTTAATTACTCTACTATTTGCTTAAGAACCCCCAAAAAATACAAAATATATTCCTTATGGGGGTAATATAGGGATTATTATTCTTATTTTTTGGGTGTTTCTTAAGCAAATAGTAGTACTCTTGTGTATGAGAGCTAGTGATCGTGATAACTCAAGCTAAAGTTCTCCCTGCCCAGTGTGAGGTTACGAGTGTTGATGATTGAAGATATGACTGTTTAAGGAAATGATCAACAAACATCTTCAACATACACAGATATGGCACCCTAAAACCCTACGTGAAATGGAAAAGAAAACTGTAAGAGCCAGAAGATAGGATCCTCCTTGAACAGCCCTGTCATGTGATGTTCGATCCGGAACCCACCCAAAAAGCTCCTTGACCTTGGACTGTTGACGCCAAATCCCGGTCCGCAACATGTTTCACCCGATGGCCCGAAAGTTGACCTACTGAAACCACAAACTTCGAAATCTAAAACCCTAACCCCACCGATGCGCTCCATTTTATTCTTTTGTGGTTTATATGAATGATCCCAAAAGGAAATCCCAAAAAAGAACTATGATGGAGCCTATGGGTAGATCCTAAGAGAGGCTCCCTCAAGCATTAACACCGCCCATACGTACACCCTGAACCGTGTCAGTTGTTATTAGAAGGAGTTACGGCCTTGGGCTTGTGCATCTGGTGGAACAAGAATCAGGATATACCTGGAAACGAACTATTGAATTGCCTTGTGGTACTGCTGCAGTTTTTCAACCCCTACAGTAACCGTAGAACAAATCAAGGGGTGCTTTGAATGTCCATTCAGACCAATAATATAAACACTCGAACCCTAAACCCTGAACCGAATCCCTAAACCCAAATTAAACCTCACAAACCCTAAAAAAACCCTAAACGCCAAACCCCATTTGACCCTAAAGTTTATAGGGTTCAATTGGGGGGTTTAGGATTTAGGGCCCTAGAAACCCTATAAACCCTATAACCCCTAAGCCGCTGCCTGCTGCAGACGTTCTACATCGGCGGCGAGCTCGGCTTCGCGCTTTTGGCTGCGCTCGAGGGCCTGATTCTGCTGGTTTAGGGCTTGGGGTTTTTCAGGGTTCAGGGTTTTTAGGGTTTGGGGTCTAGGGTTTTTAGGGTTTGGGGTTTAGGGTTGAGGGTTTGGGGTTTAGGGTTTTTAGGGTTTAGGGTTTTTAGGGTTTAGGGTTTTCAGGTTTTTAGGGTTTGGGGTTTAGGGTTTTTAGGGTTTGGGGTTTAGGGTTTAGGGTTTTTAGGGTTTTTAGGGTTTGGGGTTTAGGGTTTTTAGGGTTTGGGGTTTAGGGTTTTTTAGGGTTTGGGGTTTAGGGTTTGGGTTTAGGGTTTGGGGTTTAGGGTTTAGGGTTCTTATTTTTTGAACTCCTTTTTCCGCCTAAGGTAACCGTCGACGAAAGACCCAGGGGGTCAGGAGAGTTGGTCCCGTTGGAACACAACAAACTGGCAAAGGGAAATCCTCTCTCAAATGTCTGGGGTTTAGGGTTTTTGGGGGTTTAGGGTTTGGGGTTTAGGGTTTAGGGTTTGGGGTTCAGGGTTTAGGGCTTGAAGGTTTCAGGGTCTACCTTAACCGCAAAACCTACCCGTCAGTCTTTTTCAGGACTAGAATATGAGAAAAATACAAGTAGGGACGCTGGACCCTAAAAAACCTACCTTCTAGGGTTACGCCCTTGTTATGAATTTCTGGCTTAAGTTTAAATCCTTGAAAGGTTTTGGTTTTTATAGGGCTTTTGAACCTTAGGGTTTCAGGGTCTAGGAGTCTAGGGCTTATAGGGTTATGTTTCGAGGACCACCCGACTCATCCCGATCGATCTACTTTCTAGATCCTCCCGGGGGTCTGGGTATGGAATCCGTGCATATAATGGAAAGCTTGTAATGACTTTAGAGTCCGTGCGAGAGCAGATCTAGACCTATACAACCCCCCCCATGAAACGCTTTCACAAACCAAGGCTACTAAACCCTACGCAAGCCCTGAACAAATTACCTTATTAAGGAAACAACCCTCCAGAACCCCGACGGCAGACGCTTCCTTTAAAAAGCAACCTCCCGAGGGATCGAAGACAGGGGTCCACCAATAGGGCGGTCTACATTGCTGAGCATAACATGTCGTTACAGTCTTAATATAACTATACCATACCATTCGAGCCCCTATTCAAATTCATAGGGCCACTACATTAAACACCGAAAATTAGAACTCTCCCTTAACCCTAAACCAAAACCTAAAACCTAAACCCCCAAAAAACACCTGAGGCCCTAAACTCCCCTAAACCCCTACAGCCCTAAGAGGGTTTAACCCCTAAAGCATGCTAAGACCCTGAACTACTGAAAATGAACCGCCGGCCTCTTCATCGGCCGCCTTCTGCCGCTCAGCCGACTGCCGGAGCTCGCTAAGACGGCCTGTCAGCGTTTTCGGCTTAGGGTCTCGGGTTCCTTTCAAGGTTCCTTTAGGGACTCCTAAAAGTGATCCTTGAGGGGTTTCTATAAAGGGCTCCTATAAGGGTTCTAGGAAGGTTTAAGGTTCAGGCTTCCCAGAGAGCTCAATACCCCTTAATTAAGGAATATAGCTTAAATCATAATATTAAGCCCTATACAATTCAAGCCATATTCCTTTATTCAGGGGTATTGGGCTCTCTGGTTTTTTTGTTTAGCCGGGGGTTTAGGGTTGATAGACTTTTGTCGGTCTGAAAGGCTTGAGGGTGTTGGGGTCTGGTGGTTTTAGGGGCTTTGGGGTGCTAGGGTATTTTGGGGCTTCGAAGTTCTGGAGCTTAGGGTTTCCGAAGATGAAGGCCGGCAGGTGCTAAAGTTTTTTGGGGCTTCGGATGTCTGGAGTTTAGGGTTTCCGAAGATGAAGGGTCATTCGGCATTCGAGGGTAGGTCACGCGAGCAGTCTGTAGACTGACGCCGAGGAACCCCAAGGGTCCAAAGGACCCAATATTAGGTACTGGGTTTTAGGATAGTAGCTTTGTAGGTTAGGATTTTGGAGAGTATATGACTATTGGGTACTTGGACCCTTGGGGGGAAGAAGTTGACAAAGTAGGCGTTAGAGAGCCTTTCGGTTGCGCAGAGCCCCGTGAGCCCTCGCCCAGTTGGGGACAGGGGGCTGCCCGGCAGGGGAACACGTGGCCCCGGCCGCTTCCAATGCTTTGTCCAGGTACCTGGAGTTGAGGCGGTGAGCTGCCTCAACGTCCCGGACAAGGTTCTCAGATCCGTCTGCGGATTCAGCTGGGTTTGCTACACAGAGTGCTTTGGCTGTGCTTGTGCAAGTGCTGGCCGCGAGGGGCGCATACATTCCCGTCCGAGCGCCTCCGGACTATTTTAGGGTTGATAGTCGGGGTATCATGTATAACTCTGAGTTGGTTTTGGAGGTGATGGTTTATCGGCTGTAGGGTTGGAGGATTTATGGCTCACCCCAGCACCCGCATAAGTTCATGTTTTCGGGCCCATCTGACTTCCCATATGATCCCTTGTAAGCCCAAGCATATTCCTTGCTCGAAGCCTTCAACCCTACCCTAACGGTTCGAGCACTCAATGACTATATATTTCCTGAACCCAAAAGGTGTGTAGAAGAATCACCTTGTAAGGGTGTTGAAGTGTTGGGCCACTATTTTGCCTACCCAGAGACTCCAACATCCCTTAAATAAGGAATATACCTTAAATCATAGTAGGGATCCTACTATGATTCAAGGTATATTCCTTAATCAAGGGATATTGGAGTCTCTGGGTACCTTTTTGGGGGCGTTCAGGTTAGGCTAACAGGGATTAACGGGGAAGTCGAGGCCTCTGGCACATGGAACCTCAGAAACCTACGTTTTTAGGGCTCCTTAATATGATTTCCTTGTATAAGTTCTTAAAAGGGTAGGCTATGTGGGGTTAAGGTATGGACTCCGGTTTTACACAAGGGTTTGGGATTGGGTTCATGGCTGAAAAGGATCGAGGGTCCTAAAAGTCCAAGTGCCAAATAGTCATTTGCTCTCCAAAATACCTTTGGACCCTTGGGGCGAGGGGTGCACAATAAGGCTTGGGGTTCGTTGATTCTCGAGGTTAGGGCTTTGACGCTTGTAGGTTTTAGGGTCCAGCATTTAGGCTTCAGCGGTTCCTTCCGGTTCTTTAGGGGGTCTTTACATTTGGGGGTCCTGTAGACTGTTAAAGTGGTTAGGGCGGTCGGAAGCATCGTGTAACTTGTTCTCCTCATCGATGACTCACTGTTAAAACCTATCCACTACGGAAGGTCGGCCATGCTAACAAGAAGGATCCAGGTTCATGCTAGTTTTATGCTTCGGTGTGAAAGTTCGCCGAAGGCAGTGGCACCACACTTCGGAGCGCGTCCTTAAAGGCACACCTTACTTATGCAAACTTCGGGGAACCCAGGCATGTACTAACAAGAGTGCCAGAATTCTAGATCAAACGCACAACAGTCTGAAAGCCCCAGCTATCCGAAAACAAAACCTGCTCAACATCTGCAGCCCGAGTAATCCCAGAAAATGTATGGGTCTTGGGTATCGAGAGTAGGGGTTTGGGGTGTACTGTAGTCTAGTTAGGGATACTGTTGTAAGTACTCATGTTCAGACTTCCTGGTTGTTTCTGAAACCTCTTCGACCTCCAAGATTATGAGATAGTACGAGCAAAGCTGTAGGGCACTTTTGTCGAGCTCCTCTTCTCCAAGTTGAACTCTGCAACATATCACCTTGATAATTAAAACTAGCTTTTGTTTAAGGGAAAACATGATAACACAACTACAATATGGAATCCTAAAGAGTACGTAGTATCGGTGACCATTCAGGCCGAAGGGTTTCAGGTCTTTAATTTAAGCCCTCAGCACGGACCTTCAAGCGCCGTGATGGCTTCGGTCGAGGAAGCTGCTTCACCGGCTGCTTTCTCTTGAGCCTTCGCCGGCTGATTCCGAGCTTCGCAGCTGGCAGGGTTTAACGGTTCAGGGCCAAGCGGGGCCATAAGGGACCCATGCAAACTTCATAGTTGTTCAGAATCCCTCGCAACTATTCTTTGCTTCCAACCATTACCTCATGCCCGCAATTTCATGTTGAACATTCTTTTAAATTTTAAGGCCTCCGGAACCTGCACTAGTGTTTGAGGGGCTTTCTGTTCTTCACACTTTCGCCGTGTCCGTAAGTAAAGCCCCTTCTTGTTGCATCCGCTTCTGCCAAGCCCTATGTCTAAGTAACGGGTTTCTGAACGATAATTGCCACATCAACAAGATCTTTTCCTCACCGTAGTTCTCACATTCTCGCAGATACAAGATGTTCACTTGCTTGGTCAACCAGTTTAAATGTTGACATGCTTGGTCAACGAGGTTTACGGCTCCGCTTACATCGCTGCCGCAATGGATATACCTGTTCTCATGAACCGAAGGCGCTCTCTCCTCAAGACTAAGGGCCCTGACCTAAGTGCTGCACCTCATGTTTGCTGCTGGAGCCACACTTTTGGGCGGGTCCGTTGTGGACCCGCCAGGGCTCAGGGTTTAGGATGGTGTAAGGTTTATGGCTTGTAGACGGACTCTGCCAACGAAAGGGCAGCTAGAACGGTGAAATTCCCGACCTCTGAACCCTGGACTGGACCCTATACTCTCGTAAGAGCAATTTGCAGGCTCAAGTGTTCGTGCGAGTTCAGTGTATTCCTAGGAGGATTCATCCTGAGCATCGTGACCTAGGTTCGTAGGCATCCTAAACCCTAAACTCTAACTCTAACCCCTACACTCTTTCTTCGGACGGTGAAACAAATCGTCTCCACCTTCATTCACGTTGGCCTACTTGTTAGGTCTTGCTTTGGTAACCCCTTCTTCGAAGCTGAGGTTGGGCTTCTTAAACTCTAAGCCACGAAGCCTCTCCGTTAGCAGCGCCGAAAAGCAGAAACAGCCTCTGACTCAACCCAAGACTTTATCCTAAGATTCCCGAAACTATGATAATGAGGTAACTACTTGGGTATAGGATAATAGTATAATGCTCATTGGTGTCCCAAACAGAGGCAAATTTACCGACAAAATGGCCCCGGCCTCCCTGGACGACGACGAATCAACTTAACTAGTCTGACTATACTTCACTAAATCAGAATATTGGTGAAGACGAACAAAAAGGTCTGACCTGAAGCACTTCAAGTGCTGCCAACAAGCCATAAATCAGCACAAGCGGCTCTCAGTCAGATTGGTACAAGTAGTATAGACGTAAACATATATATACACCCACATACACAGTATACTGTATACTTTACAAGAAAAATAAAGCTTGCCGTCGATGTTGGGCCACTACATTACCTACATTACCTACTTTGGGGGGCTTTTACCCTAAGGCTCCTGGACCATCGTAGTGAGATCCCAAACCTTAGCCCCCAAAGCCCGAACCCTCCCCCAGAAAGCCCATGACCTGTTTCGGAGCCTTAGGGTAGGCCCCCAAATCCGAGATGATGCCCCCGAAACCCTAAACTCGAAACCCTAAACCCTAAACCCTAAAACCCTAAACCCTTAAACCCTAAACCCTAAACCCTAAAACCCTAAGCCCAACTCTAAACCCGAAACCCCCTGGCCTCCGCAATGGCGGAGCGCAGTGCCGACAGCTCCTGCAAAGGAGTTTGTGCACCAAGGCCGCCTTTCCATGCTCTCCGACAGAGCTGTCGTTTTCTTAAAGGAGCCCTAAAAGGAACCCTTATAGAACCGTTAAAGGATCCCTTATAGAACCCTTAAAGGAACCCTTAAAGGATCTCCTGTAAAGGAATCCTAATGATGGTAAGATGCAGATGTCATTTCGAAGGGTAGCACGAACCTTGCTACTACACGGTCCGGACCATAAAACAGGCTATCCAACAAGAGGCTACAGTCCGGGGCCTAGGTATGGCTCCTTCTTGGAAGAACGATTCTTGCTGCGGGTGTATGGGGGGAAAAGAGACGTGACGCTGACATCATCCTCACGTGAGAAGGAGCTCGAAAAGTAGCCCAAGGAACGACAGCGCTGCTGTGCTCGCCCGCTCCACATGCAGTTGCTGCGCACCGCGTTTTCGCACGTCGCGAAACCCGACCAACCCAACACGATCCCAGCCCTAAACCCTTCATGCTAGAGCCCCGAAATACCCTCTACTGTACCCTAAAATACCTACGAATAAGGACCGTACAGGCTCTGTTGAAGGGCACTTGGGGGGTCCTGGATCCTAAACCCTAAACTGTGAACCTAACCCCCAGGCCCTAGACTTCGAGACCTACGGTTGATGATATACATCCTGCATGACCTTAAGGACCCTAAACTATGGGAATTATGTTATATTCCTTATTATGGGTAATGCAGGATTTATATCATCAACCGTAGCACCCCTAGACCCACAGGCACCGAGCAAAAACATGGACGTACTGCTGGTTTGGGTGTTTTTTGCGTCGGTTAAGGATTTAGGATGGTTTAGTTTTTTTTGTTGAGCTCCTTTTCTTTGGTTTCGGGTTTGAGGTTTTGGGTTTTAGGGTCTCGGGCTGGAGCGTAGAAAGCCTCAGGGTCAGCTGGAACATCGCGTTCGGTACTTAAGCATGAGCAAAAGCATGTAAGTAAGCCAGCAAGTCAAAGAGTAATTATTATAGTTAGGAAATGAAGGACAAATCAAGAAGGCAGGCGGGCAAGCAAGCAAGCAAGTGGGTCATGGCGCAAGGGGACATCCTACTTATTACTCGAACTATACCCTGCCCTGAATCTTCATGTAGGCTGGCTGTACGGCTTAGGGACCATCAAGCGGCTGAGGGGTTGCCTCTTGAGCCGTATGCACGCCTCACATAGGTGGCTCCATAATTCGAGCTGCGCTGTAGCTTATATCGGTGATGCCAGAATTGGTATGTGATTTGAAAGGGGGGTCATGATGAAGACCTGACCTAAACAGAAGGATCCTTATTATCACGACCACTACACAAGGTAACTGCCTCTACGTTCGAGAAATCCTCCAGACCTGAGAACACACACACATTGACAGCTCTACAGACCCCCGAATTCGCCCGACCCCCAACTCCAAAACTCCCTATAGACCCTAAACCCACTCCGAAATTCCAGCTGGTCCTTGAACAAACCTCCGGCCAACACCCTTAACCCCAAACTCTTCACCCTAAAGCAACGATATTCAATAAATCAAAAGTAAAAACGAAGCCAAGAACCTCCAAACCGAAATGAGCCGACGCGACACCCAGAACCGTGGGTTCAGGGTGCTATTTCCCGAACCTTACCGAACGATGCTCGAATCGAAGACTCCAAGCAACGAATCCACTGTTTGGAGTGTACTTGGAGGATCATGGGACTTAGTAAGTAGGGTTATAAGTACCTTAATTGGGGTCATCATATGTAGTTATATAAGTAGAGTTACCCTAATTGTAACCCTAGTTACTAAGTCCCATGATCCTTCAAGTAGGGCTTCCTCGCTCTCAGAGCCCGGTACCCCCAAAACCCAAAAGCAGCGATGCGGGGACCTGAACGTGGCTCTGCAACTCGTCCTCGGTGCTTTGGCCCTTCTGCACCTTCGGCTTGGGGGCGGATGAGCTAGTGTGGCGGGTTTAAAACGTTTAAGACTCATTGGTTCAAGCTTCGTGGCGCCGATCAGCCTGAGCTCAGGATTCGAGAAATCACGATTTCAGCTCGTGAATTCGAGCCCGGAACTCGGTTTCAGCCGTTGCTGGGCTCTTCACTTGCATGTCTGCAGCTTGCAAAGCCTCCAGGTTTCAGGACATACCCTAACTGACCCTATATCCAAAACAGAACGCTGCTTTTAAACGAAGCGCGTCAGGGAAACCCTCAACCCCTAAACCCCAAATCCTGGCTTCTATTTTGATTACTAAGGCACTGAACCTCGCATTAAACCTTGAAAGGGCCGTTCCGGGCCTCGTCGGTATTCGGGACAGCTTAAACTTGTTAGCATCTCATACTGTAGCTGCCTTCCGAAAAATCATGCTTTGTGGCTTTGGGTTTTTTGAAACAAGCATTAACCAACATCTGAGTCTGTATGCCCTTCACAAGTTTAGTGTCATGTGCTCTTTCTCCATCCACGAAACCCCGGATAGGACCTTACTTCCCAGACCTGCCTTTTGCAGGGCCCCTCGTCCTGTGTTATAAATACGGGATGTATTTGGACCACCGAAAGGAAAGCTGTAGCTTGCGGCAAATCGTGTGAACTCCAAACCCCAGCTACTACGTATCCTGAAACCCATTCGCCCAAAAACCTCTGACCCCTTGAGCCTTAAAGCCTAATTCACAAGCTATAAAAGCCCGGACCTCCTAAGCCATTTTAAACCCATGCCCTAAGGCTCGTTGATCGAATGGCCGCCGTTGCCTCTTGGCTGAGTTCGGTCTGCAGCGTTTCGATCTGACCTTGATGTCAGTCCAACATCGGGGGGTGGCCTTCTTAAAAAAAAGGTTTAGAGAAGTTTTATAGGGTTTAGGATGTAGGGCTTTTGGGTATACTCTAACCTTGTGGTGACATAGGGAGCATAAGGGGATAGTATTGCTGGAAACATGGTGTCCTTTACGTTGCGGGTGGCGTATTCTGGGCTTTAGTACGTAAGAAATTTAAAAGCTGGGTGTTTTGTTTACCGGGTTTCATAAAGGTGCGTGAGGCTCTGCACAGGTTGTTTACGGGGTGCCGGGATTCTCAGGATACTGATACTAAGGCCCGAAACCCTAACCCTGGGTTCCGGCCGCACTTAGTAAGGTACGGTTTGATGGCATCTCAGTTTCGGATGTGGGGACTTCGCCAAGAGCGGCAATCGAAGTCTCAACAACAACTCTAGGCACAAAGCCCGACGTGCAAACCGTACAAAATGCCCCACTGCAAGCCCTACGCAATACCCGTGAAATCAAAGGTTTAGTTGTGGGAGTAGTGAGGAATCCGAGCGCAAGAATCCGGGGGGAAGTCCTCCAGAACAAGGATCAACAAACACCCAAAGAACTCCTGACAAATGCTCTACACGTCACCACGAAGCACAGAAACAAAATCAATCTTTGACCGGGGCCTGCGAAAGCTGCTACTCGGCGCTGGGCCTCCGTCACAGGAGTATACGTGGATCTCTATGCCCATCATTTATATATTTATGTAGTTCGCATGTGGAATTTCAGTTCTTCCTTTTCGGAGCTTCAATTTGCATGTCTCATGAATTCCATGTTATGTTTTGTATGTGTCTTCTTCTGTCATCGGCCTGTCTATCTCAGAACTCAAAGCCCTTGCAGCCGTGCAGCGGGCCTGTTGAAGTAGCAACTGGCATCGACTTTGTCATGATATGTTTAGGTTGAACACACCAGGGAAGGACAAGTACTTGCAGCACTGGGGAACTGAGCAAGTAGTTTTGCACATGTGTAAAAAGTTCACCCACTGATGATAAAGGTCCTGTCATCCTTGCTCTACTGAGTAGGCGGCAAGCCCTGTGGATGCAAATACTTTCAGAATGAGCTCCTCCAAGTGAGCCTCATCATGTAAGGCAAGAACCTGTCCCAGTCTGGATCTATTGGATTTCCGACGATGAGGGCCCTCCTGTATACAAGCTTACAGCACATGTCAGGATTCTTCGTATAGGGAAGTGTAAAGAAGGTCTGAGGTGCAAGGCTTTAGAGTGTGGAGTTTGGCCGGTTTCATGCTGGCTAGAGCCGTAGACCCGACACACACACACACACACACACTCTCTCACTCTCTCTCTCTCTCTCTCTCTCTCTCTCTCTCTCTCTCCCTCCCTCTCGCTTTTTCTCTCTCTCTCTCTCTCTCTCTCTCTCTCTCTCTCTCTCTCTCTCTCTCTCTCTCTCTCTCTCTCTCTCTCTCTCTCTCTCTCTCTCTCTCTCTCTCTCTCTCTCTCTCTCTCTCTCTCTCTCTCTCTCTCTCTCTCTCTCTCTCTCTCTCTCTCTCTCTCTCTCTCTCTCTCTCTCTCTCTCTCTCTCTCTCTCTCTCTCTCTCTCTCTCTCTATATATATATGTATATACATATGTATATATATATATGTATATACACAGGCTCATATACATGTATGAATACACACATACCTTTGTTCATTTATTTATTTATATGTTGGTTTCTTTATCTATGTTTATGTATTCATTGTGTATTCATATATATATATATATATATATATATGTACACATATATGGCACACAAGTGTGTGCATATATACACACATTTGCTACGTGTGTGTGTATATACATATATAATATCTACCTATTTATCCGTTTTCTATACCATACACATATACAAAATTAAATTAAAACGTAAACCCCAATAATCCTGTGTAACTCTACACCCATAAATCTATCACCCTAAACCTGGACCTTACATCCTAAAAATAACCCTAACCCACACCTGACAACTCTGTAAAGTCTACGACACCCCCCCCCCCCCCCCCCCCCCCCCCCAATACAAAACAAGCCGTAGCCCTAAGCTGCAATCTGCCTCCTCTGCCGTCTGCTGCTGGGATGCTCGGGCTTCAGCATTTTCGGCTTGCAGCTCCTCACCATCAGTGCTTCACGGGCTCAGGGGTTTGGGTCTTTAGGGTTTAGGGGTTTAGTGTTAAGAGGTTTAGGGTCTAGGGTTTAGTGTTTAGGATGATTCAAAAACGATGTAGGACTGTAGGACCGTGGTCATACCAGATACAGGAGTATTCAGTAGCAGCTCTGACAGTAGCAGCATGCAGCACGAGTCGCAGTAGCAGCAGTAGCAGTGTTGGTGGGGTTAATGGTCGCGGTGACCGTGGTCACTGCAACGTCTTGCTGAAGGTTTAGCTGTCCTGGCTGGCCGGAGGTTTTCAAAGACACTCTGATGCCTCAAGCCGACCCGATCCTCCAAACCAAATGGGTGGTTGTCAAAATTAGGGTCCCTTTTTGGGTACCCTAAATATTAGGTGCCGTATTATATTAAGGAGCCAAAAAGGGACTATGATTTTGACAACCACCCAAATCAAGCCACACGCCGCCACCAGTCACTTCTTCATGCCGCATATCTTTCGAAGACTCACTGCCTATTAAACACTCTCAGGACAACCCGCATGAAGCACATTGACGCCCTAATTCCCGGCTCCCATCAAACACCATGCATGATTGAAACCTGTCAAGACCAGAAACACGGTAGAAACCCTACTATAGTAAAAACACCTAGCAACCTCACTTATGGACATCCAAATCTTCGCCCGGAGACGAAATGCCCTATGCAACATTATAAGCCTGTAAACGGAAGTGGACAATGGACAAGCCATACTAAACATCATCAAACTCCAAAGCATGTAAAGGGCTGTAGTATTCAAACACATGGTTTTGGGACAGGATACACTACTTGTACATAGGGATTTAATTACGTAGGGGCAAAAAATAAAGGGATAGTACTGGAAATTACATCCATGGTACTATTTGTGTTTGCTGTGCGGTCCTGAACACAAATCCCGAACTCCGAACCCCTAAACCCTAATCCTAAAACCCTAACCCCCAGACCCAACCCCCTAAACCCTAACCCCTGAAATCCCCAGATCAAAGCCACCTGCAGCTTCTTGGAGAGCTCGGCGGCTGCAGTCTCCGAGTTGCCCAGGAGCTCCTCCTAAAGCAAGGTTTACTTGGAGGGGCAGGGGACTTAGTAAGTGTGTTATAAGTAGAGTTATAAGTACCCTAAATGGAGTTGCCCCAATTATAACCCTACTTGCAAACCACTTACTAAGTCCCCTGGCCCTCCAAGTAGGGCTTGGGGTTTGAGTTTAGCGTCTAGGGTTTCGGATTTATAAGGCTTTAGGGCTGTAGAAAGGATGTGGGTGTTGGGATTGGGATGTTTCAGGGTTTTGGCGCTGCAGCATCTCGGGCTTAGGTGCCTGAAGCAACTGTGCCCAGGCAAACCTTGCGATCGGCTGCGTTTTTAGGGTTTAGGGTTTAGGGTTCTAGGGTTTAGGGTTTAGGGTTTTAGGGTTTAGGGTTTTAGGGTTTAGGGTTTAGGGTTTTAGGGTTTAGGAGTTAGGGTTTAGGGTTTAGGGTTTAGGGTTTTAGGATTTAGGGTTTTAGGGTTTAGGGTTTAGGGTTCCTGGCTGTGCTTGATGACTCGACCGGTGATGGCATCATTGCCACTGCCCTCGGCAATGATGTCAGCCTCGACCATAAGATGCATGACAGAGATGCACGCAAGCCACACCACGAAGACAGCGAGCAGTTTCTGCGCGCCGTCCGAGATCCAAAGCTGGCCCATGGCAACGTGGTCGTTCTCCAGCTGTTGCTTTGCAGTGGCAGTCAGATCCTCCGGCACAAGCATGCAGCATATCTCGCCCTGCGGGCGTCTGGCGTCGCACTGACTGGTAACTTGAAACTCTCAGTGCAAAGCACTCCGGGGAACGAGGGGGGGGTCGTATGAGGAGTGCACAACTCGTGCCGTGGTTGATGCGGGAACCACAGACGTTCGTTGTGAGCAGCTGAAAATATCTGTTGCGACACCGACAAGACATTGAATGACAACGCCACTACTGTGACTCCTCGCGATAGAGAACCTTTCAAGTGCTTACGTGCCGTGCTGGGTGGGGGGGTTAGGATATTTAGGATTTATCACTTCGAGTTTAGGACATCAGCTTTGCAGACACCTCAGAGGATCAGAGGATCCAGCCGTTGGTACTACCAAAAATGGGGGTGGGTCGAGGGATGAGAATACGGTGATATTTTCAATGGATCGATGACCACGGGCAGCGAGGCTGCAGAACTGATATTTATGCAAGCTGGATATGGTTCTCATGAGGGTCCATTCTGCTTTAGCAGCGGTTTGCATGCGTCTTACAACGGTTTGTGGGTTCAGTATAGAAGTTTGCAGTTGCAACATCTTGTAAAGGGCGTCATAGGACCTTACGATGGTCAGTAGGGCAGTGGCACTTGCTTTATTGGCAGATTCTGCAAGGTTTTGCATGCATTTCATGCTGGCTACGTACATTGGAATTGGAGTCTCCCTTTCTGGAGGGCCTCACAATAAAGATCGCACCATATCCTGTCTGCATTACCGGCTCCTTGTTTCCTAAAACTCCGCACAGCCCAGGTTTGCGCCCGATATTTACAGTTCAGGTCAAACCAAACCCTCAACCCTAAACCCCAAACCCTCAACTCTAAACCCTGGACCCTCAACCCTAAACTATAATGCCCTCGATGATAGACACACACAGACTGATTGAATCCTTGAGTCTAACTCCGAAGTCCCCTTCCACAAATGCCCAGATGGCCTTCGCGACTTTGAGCTCATCCACCTAGAAAAGCTTCGGAGATTTCGGGATCCTGTTCTTGTGTAGGAGTCTTTCGTTAAAGGTTTATATAGGGGTTTGGGGTTTAGGGGTTTAGAAGTCAGGGTGTTACAGGGTGTCAACAGGCACTTAAACTAAACTAGTCTGTAGTGCTGATGGATGGAAGCCCGCGTGTCCACAATGAATTTGAAACTGCGAAAATTGTGATAAATCCGTTCACTCGGGATCTTGCATTGCAGGACTTGTCCAGCCACAATTATGACATGACAAGGATCCTAGCACATGCCCAAGATCTCTATTCCAGGGAACCCGAACCTTTAAGATGAAACTTTCTGTGGCGCTTCTCACCCGGGCAGGGAGTCTTAGCATCAAGCCACTGCTCATGGTCACCGTTTACAGGCATACGGTTTAGGGGTCAGGGTTTCAGGTTGAGGGCCCGTTGAGGGCATGGCACAGGGCTTTGGGGGTCGGGGGTTTAGGGTTTACGGGAAGTAAGGGCGAGGCTCACATGATTGCTTTGAACCTTTTCAACTTTGACTACGGCTCTAGCCCAAGGGTCCAAGTACCCGAAAATCATATACTCTCCAAAATCCTAACCTACATAACTACTAAGCCGAGTACTTAATTATTGGGTCCTTTGGACCCTTGGGGTAGGTTTGATTGTCGAGGGCCTTCCGGCTGTCTCGCTTAGGCGAGGGTGGCGAATGGTTGGGGATCAACATGAAGGATCCCGATTGACGGGATCCTACCAACCCTTTACCCTGAAAGGGACTTCAGGGTTTAGGGATTTAGGGTCCTTCAAAATCTTGGGTTTAGGGTTTCAGGGTCTTTGAGTGCCTAACTTTAGCTGACGACGCCACCGCGCCTGCGTCGCCAACTGGGCGGCCTCCTTTTCTTTGGCCTCCTTCAGCGACACTTCCTCGGCGCATTCGGCGCGCCATTGCTCCAAGGACCTGGGAAGGTGGATCCAAACCCTACTGTTTGAGGGTTCGACCCTGTAATTAAGGGGCCATAACCCACTACTTTATAGGGTTTGGGGATACAGGTGAGAGTTTCCGAAAATTAGGGGCACCTTATTTTGGGATCCTTATAATGGGGATCCTAGTATTTAGGGTGCTATATTAGCGTCCCCTATTTTCGGAAACTCTTGAGTGACTCTGGGGCTTTGGGCTTTAATATAAGAGCTTTAACGGTTTAAGTTTAGGGTTTAGGGGTTTAGGGTTTAGGGGTCTACGGTTTACGGTTTAGGGGTTCGGGGGTTTAGGGTTTAGGGGTTAGAAGCTTTTGGGGACTTTATAAGGGCTTTCCATGCTTCCGTGACTTGAACTAATGCTTCCGTGCTTCAGGATCTAAGGGCTCTAGAGTTTGATGGCTCAGGGACAAGAAGTTCGGGTAAGGTTCGAAGATTGAAACGATCTTCTCTATAAGCTGAGAAGGTTCAGTGAGGGCTCTTGGGCCTGGAGCTGCAAGCCTTCTTGGGTTAATAATGGTTTTGGAGTTCGGGGAGTCGGGGCTTACTATGGCGTACGATAGATCCATACACTTCAGCGCTCTCGGGTTGGGCTGTAGAAAACAGGCTTACCAACAGTTAGACGGCGACAAGACGACGCGCCGCTTACAGAACCATGACAAGCTGACTACTGTAGGGGCCTTGATAATCAGAATAGGGTTTTGGGGCCCATTATACTATAGTTCTAACAAGAAGCCCCAAAAATAGTGTTGGTAACTATTTTTCGCATTGCTCCCACCCCGGGGTTTTATTCCGAGCCCACATCAAAAACCACAAAGCCCAAGAGCTGCAACATCTCAAAGCACACTGCCACCGCAAAGCTTAAATTCTGCCTGGACCCTGACTTTAAGGGTCCATGTACCCAAATAGCACACACTTTGGTCCCAATGTACCTATATAGGGAGGGAGCACTTTAAGGCCAAAGTAGATGCTGTTTGGGTACATGGACCCTTAAGGGTGCGAACCTTCCAGGAAAAGCCTGGAATCCCCCAAACCCTCAAACCCCAAAACCCTAGGCCGTATAGCCCAAAACCCCAAACCCCTGAAGCCTCACTTGAGGCCCCTATCCACATCCCGAGCCCTTGCTGCGGCGATTCACAGTCGAGGCTTTCAATACAGATTAAGACTGTATTTTTATTTTTTAGGGGGGTCAGGGTTTAGGCATTTTGTTTTGGGGTTTAGGGCTGTTGTTTTGGGGTTTAGCGCTTTGTGGTGTGTAGATGCTTTTGGGGGGTTTTAGGGTTTAGGGTTTGAACTTTGGGGCTTAAGTGACGTCCAAGCCTGCAATGCAAGGGTGAGAAGTAAGGAACTCTGGGACAACGTTGAATGGCTAGAGCTCATGAAGATCCAGTAATTACTTCGTACTGTGAAGTACTGGTAATTGGTGCAAGCATCAATATCTTTGTGATTTCATGTCGGTGCCAGACTCTTCGTTTAATGTCTTACTCCTCTCTTGGTGTTTCCCTTGAAACTAAACTAAACCCTCAACCCTACAACCCCTACACCCTGAACCCCGTACCTATCAATTGTCAGGGCATCAGCCCATGCCACAAAAGCAGCCACGCTGCTGAAGAAGTTGGGAGTTGCGGGTATATCATATTGTATTTAAAGTAAGGATTCTGCAAAACCCGTATTCTAATTATTAAGGCCCCTGATATAGCCACGCAGCTGAAGAAGTTGGGCTTTCTCCTTGGCAGCCTCCTCTGAGGCTCCCCGTGCTGCTTCAGTGGCTTTGGCAAACTGAGACTTCCAGTCATCTAGCTCTTGCGACAGGCTGTTGGCTTTGTCTGTCGCCTGGGTTGCAACTTAAGGCTACCAGAAACCACGGTCGAAGACATGTCGATGATCTATAGCACCCACAATCAAGGAAGATCAAACAATTGTCGAAAGTGCGACCTAGCAGCCTCCTTCAACAGCTGTTCCCGCGCAGCATCCCCATCAGACAGATCATGCTGCAGGCGCTGGATCGTGGCATTAAGGCCTTCTGCGACGACAGCTGCCTTGGAAGCATCGGAAGAGCGCCCTTCCTGCTCCGCCGACAACTCAGCACGCAGTTGCTCCAGTTGGGACGTGAACTTGTCTGTGTCCTCCTTCGCTTTGGCCTCTAAAGAATCACCTCGTTTCACTGCTGTGGCATGCTCTGTTTGCCACGAGGATACCTTGTCGGTCAGTTCTTCGATCTTGGCCATGGCATCCTGCTGTTCGCTGGCATGGGTCTCGGCCGTGCTGGCAGCTGTGTCCTGCAAGCGCTTGATTGTGCCATTGAGCTCCTCAGCGGCGGCAGCTGCGTTGGAAGCATCGGAAGAGCGCCCGTCCTGCTCTGCCGACAGCTCAGCACGCAGCTGCTCAAGTTGGGACATGAAGGTGTCTGCGTCCTCTTTCGCTTTGGCGTCTAAAGAATCACCTCTTTCCACCGCTGTGGCATGCTCTGTTTGCCACGAGGATACCTTGTCGGTCAGTTCTTCGATCTTGGCCATGGCATCCTGCTGTTCGCTGGCATGGGTCTCAGCCGTGTTAGCAGCTGTGTCATGCAAGCGCTTGATTGTGCTATTGAGCTCCTCAGCAGCGGCAGCAGCGTTGGAAGCATCGGAAGAGCGCCCTTCCTGCTCCGCCGACAACTCTGCACGCAGCTGCTCCAGTTGGGACGTGAACTTGTCTGTGTCCTCCTTCGCTTTGGCCTCTAAAGAATCACCTCGTTCCACTGCTGTGGCATGCTCTGTTTGCCACGAGGATACCTTGTCGGTCAGTTCTTCGATCTTGGCCATGGCATCCTGCTGTTCGCTGGCATGGATCTCGGCCGTGCTGGCAGCTGTGTCCTGCAAGCGCTTGATTGTGCCGTTGAGCTCCTCAGCGGCGGCAGCTGCGTTGGAAGCATCGGAAGAGCGCCCGTCCTGCTCTGCCGACAGCTCAGCACGCAGCTGCTCAAGTTGGGACATGAACTTGTCTGTGTCCTCCTTCGCTTTGGCGTCTAAAGAATCACCTCGTTCCAGCGCTGTGGCATGCTCTGTTTGCCACGAGGATACCTTGTCGGTGAGTTCTTCGATCTTGGCCATGGCATCCTGCTGTTCGCTGGCATGGGTCTCGGCCGTGCTGGCAGCTGTGTCCTGCAACTTCTGGATAGCCTCTTTTGCAATCGTCAGCTCCTGGCAAGGGTCAATATCTTAGGCCACGAAATATTTATTCACACGGCACATGCTCCGCCAGCACAAATCGCGAAACCTGTCTTAAGCATCACTCGTTGTTCCTTCCCAAACCCCAACACACCCAAGGCCTGAACCCTAAATACTACCCCCACCCGTGATTATCCTTGCTGACTCCAACAGGACCAGAGTTGAGGGTTTAGGTACACGCAAGCCAGGTGGTTAACAGAGCGAATAAATTCGTTCGCGATAACCTAGTCCCCAAGGGATAAATAACTAAATATGTATGTGTATATATATATATATATGTTGATTGGTCTTAAAGTAGTCCCTATATAAGTACTTTGGAGCCAAGCTATCTACTAATTGGGTGCAGGGCCTTAGGGTAATCGCAACCAAAAAGGCCAGAATGCATCAACAGGAAAGCCCTGAGTTAAACCATGGCCCCCTAAGGCAAACCTAAACCTAAACCCCCTGCAGGGTAGGGTTACAGAGAACTTAACAGACACCTCCCTAAACGAGCAGCGAGTTACAAATAAGTCCCCGAATGCCCAAATCTCCAGAACCCTACACCCAAATCCCAAAGCCCTAAACCCAAATCCCCAAAATCCTAGGCCCAAATCCCCAAAATCCTAAGCCCAAATCCCCAAAATCCTAAACCCAAATCCCCAAAATCCTGAACCCAAATCCCCAAAATCCTGAACCCCAATCCCTAAATCCTTAAACCGAAGGAGCCTGCAGCTGCTTCGTCAACTCTGCGGCCGTCTGCTCCGAAGTGCGGAAGATCTCGTCCTCCGGGGGAAAGGCGTCGGGCTTCCCAGACCCCCCTTGGAGGATCCAAAAAGTAGATCCCTTAATGGGGGCTCCTATAAAGCACCCTTAGTAGTATAGGGCCCAAATTAGGGGATCTACTTTCTGGATCCTCCCGCGGGTCTGGCTTACAGTGGAAGCCCAAAAGTGGGTAAGAGTCAGTAAGTTATAAGGAGTTCAGGGTTTAGGCTTTTCTTGGTTCAGGGTTTAGGCTTTAGGGGTTTAGGGTTTAGGTGGGTAAGAGTAAGTTATAGGGCTTCCAAGTTTTTTGGGGTCGGGTATTTAAGGACCAGGGCTTAAGGGTTTACAGGGTTTATAGGGTCTGGTGGGTTTAGGGTTTACAGGGTTTCAGGGTTTAGGGTTTATAGGGTTTAGGGCCTAGGGCGTCGGCCCCTAAATTATAGAACCCTTCTATAGATCCCTTATAGTAGCCCTGATGTAGAGCCCTTTCCGGGACCCCATTGTTAAGGCCCCTACAGCAGAAGTTAGAAACCCAATAGACTCAATCCTTGAGAGTAAGTAAAAAGGGAATCCCAGCACTAACTGTCCTCAAGCCGGTTTCCAACCTTCTGGGGTTGGCTATAAAGTTTAAGTCCAGGGCTTAGGGGTTTACAGGGTTTATCGGGTTTAGGGTTGAGGGTTTATGGTTTCAGGGATAGTGTTTAGGGCCTAGGGTTGCGGGTTTACAGGGTTTAGGGCTCAGGGTTTAGGGTTAGTGTTTAGGGCTTAGGGTGTATAGGGTCGAGGGTGTATAGGGTTTAGGGTCCAGGGTTTAGGGTTTAGGGTTCAGATTCAGGATTCAGGGTTTAAGGCTTAGGGTTCAGGGTTCAGGTTTTAACGGGCCACCGATTTCTTCCGTTTTGTCCGGCTTGTGTTTTTGTTGTTACATGCTGGTCTTTCCCTGCCTGGCCAAGCAATCTATGTGGTTGCGTTGCGTCCTAGCTATTGGGTCGTCTTGGTTAGGGTTCTGTCGGTGTACTGATGTAGTGTTCCGCATCATGGGAACGGGGTGTTGGGGTTTTGGTAGCTTCGGGGACAGGCAGTAAGGTTAGGCTCACAAGCTTCAAGGGTCAGGTTGAGGGTACACGTTTAGGGGTTTAGGTTTTTGTTTTGAAGGTTTCAGGGTTTTGGGGCTTTAGGATTTAAGGCTTTAGGGCTTTATAGGGTTTAGTGTTTTGCGTGTGCGTGTGGGTAAACTTTGGCAATTAGGGCTTGCCGGAATTTCTCAAAGAACTCTGCAAGGTTCACCGCATCTGCCCTAAACCCTGCACCCTAACCCCCAAGACTGAAACCCTAAACCCTAACACTGAAACCCCAAACCCCACGACTGAAACCCGAAACCCCCAGACTGAAACCCTAAACCCCAAGACTGCAAGCCTAAACCCTAAGACTCCCTAAGACTGAAACCCCAAACCCAAGACTGAAACCCGAAACCCCCAGACTGAAACCCTAAACCCCAAGACTGAAACCCTAAACCCTAAGACTGAAACCCGAAACCCTAAGACTGAAACCCGAAACCCTAAGCCCTGGCTCAGAGCCACACCTTGGCAGATTTGAGATCTTCGACCTGGTGAGAGTCAGGCAGTTCAAGCTGGTTTAGGGTGTAGGGTTCAGGGCTTAGGGTCTAGAGCTTAGTGTCCAGGGTTTAGGGTCTAGGGTTTGGGGTTAAGGGTTTAGGGTCTAGGGTTTACGTAGGGTTCACGGTTTAGAAGTCTAGGGTTTAGTGCAAAGGCACTCTCTCCTTGAAGTTGATCCCGAAAGGGTTTCTATACTGGCAAAAGGTTCGCTATCTTTCCTTCGAAAGTGTTGTTTAGCGAACGGGTTTCTATAACGGTTTCGAAAAGGGTTTGCTATCTTTCCTTTTATGGGTTCTTTAGCGGGATTTGTAAGGGTTCCCAGTGTCGAAAAAGGTATACCGAAAAGGTTCCGACACGGTCTCAGCATAGACTTGCACGATGGTGGAATTAGCCACAGGACCTCTCTCTAAGCCCTAAAACCCTAAACCCCAAACCCTAAACCACTAAAAGACCCTCTGACCCAGCCCCCCAGTCCCTACGCCTCAAAAATCCCCAAACTCAACAACACAAGTCTAAAATTCCTTATAATCCTCATCCCCACACAGTACACCCCAAAATTCCCTAATCGAGAAACCCTGCAGATATAGCTTTTCTAATTGTTATTACTGGCATTACAGGTACTATCCATACTACGATCATTAGTCTTCATGTTGGTAAGATAACAAACCACGGCTATTCTTGGTATTAGTCTTATGCTGACAACTGTTGCTATTATTGATTATGACGATGATGATTAATATGACGAATACTGTTTAGACCCCCAGGACCGTACTGGTGTGCTCTGTAGCCTGATCCGAGCCTCGGCAGACAGGCGAGCCGCATCTTTGGCCGTGGCTTCTTTCTGAGACGCTTCCTTGGGAAGTGCAGGGCTTAGGGCCTTTCTACAGGGGCCTTAATAATTGGAATAGGTTGTGGGGCCCATTATACCATACTTACAAAAAAGAACACCGAAATCGTTTTGGTGTTTATTTAGGCCCCTATATTAAGCCTCAAACCGGACGCTCCAAGGTCCCTTCAATAAAGCCCTGGTGCTCCTTGGGTAAGTCAGGCATCTTCGTGGAGAGGACGGCAAGTAGTCTATAAATAGGCTAAGGTTTTGGGGTTTAGGGCCAGGGGCTCAGGTGTATATAGGGCGTAACTCAGGAAACTTTGGGCCACATTTTGTTCAGAATCTTTCGGACCAACCTCATCCACAGCTACCGGATGCGAAATAGAGTTGCTAGACATTATTGAGGCTCCTAGAACAAACCCTATCATCCCAGACCAAAATGGTCAAGGGATCATGTTCACGCCGCCTCTTCCGAGAGCAGCCGGGACATGTCAACAGCTCCTGGCTGTTCCTTGTGAAGCGCCTGTGCGGCCGGCGAAGTTGCACGTTTTCCAGCCCGAAAGGCCATTTCGGCCGACGCCGGCGGAAGTGAGAGTTTTCCAGTCGAGAAGGTCAATCTGGCCGATCCTTCCGCTGCCCTGCTGGCAAACCCGTGCCAGCAAAACCCGCAGCTCATCGGGGATCGCGACGTCGCGGAAGAGGTAATGGTCCTCGATTTTGCAACTTCTTGTGCGCCTGCTGCGAATAGAGGGCCCTCCCGCCGTTACCCATAGGCTCCAGTATAGCTCGTTTTTGTGGTTTATATTTAGGATCCTACAGGGTAATCCCCAAAAAGGAACTACTATGGAGCCTATTTGGGAGTTCAGAGCTCAGGCAGGGGGTTTAGGGTTTTAGGGTTTTGGGTTCGGGGGCTCAGACAGGCGGACATCCTGGAATTAGAAGCCATGGAAGAACCTGAAGCATTACTTGCTCTATCCTCTCATGCGTGAAGGGGGTTTACAGTTAAAGCATGCTGCAGCGCCCTTTTGTGATTGGATGAACGTGCCCTGCGACTTGTACGTCTACCTTATACTTCTATCGTGTGGGGTTTAGGGTTTAGTGTATATCACAGAATCCTGAAACACGACATGGCTAGCCATCTGAACCCAGACCCCCGGGAGGATCCAAAAAGTAGATCCCTTAATGGGGGTTCCTATAAAGTACCCTTAGTAGTATAGGGCCCCAAATTTGGGGGATCTACTTTCTGGAGCCTCCCGGGAAGCCTCGAGCCCGAGCCAATACTTCTCGCGTAATGCTCCCTTGGACACAGCGGACCGGTTCGCCTTGGATCTAGACCCAAGAGTAACCTAGGAATAAAAAGGGTGCCCTTTGTGGTTTAAAGGGCACCCTTTAAGGGAACCAGAACCCTAAAAAAGGGAATCCGGGCTTACTCTGAGTCCTAGGGATTGAGGTATCACTAAGGCAGATGCACAGATGGCTGTGGGTCTGCTGTATTGCCACCCATGCTCTTGAACTCCGAACATCTGAAATGACATGACTGTGCTCCTTCAGACCTCGAACTAGAAACCCTGGACTTTCCTGATACAGGGGGCTTAAAATTGGAAGAGGGTTTTGGGGCCCACTATATTTTACTTGTAATGAGGAACCCACCCAAAAAAATATCATTGGTAATTCTTAAGGCCCCAAAATTACTGAAGCCGGAGAGCCTGAGCATGTTCCGTCTTCCACGCATCGAGCTGCTGAGAGAGGTGGCTTGCTCCTTTAACGGGCTCGCCGGTAGCAGGCGCGGGCTTGAACTGAACCCTGCACCCTGAAGGCTTCCATTCAGAGGGCTTCGGGTTTTGGTTCTTGGGTCGGATTCGAGATCTTCCGGGATTTGACGCTTGCACGAATGAGTGCAGCTAAATCCTGCCATGCCCTTCCCTAAACTAGCGTGCAACCTGAAAAAAAGCCCGCCTTCTTCGTCGTATGGTCAGTCTTATTGTAATCACAAGTATGACCGTTAGCATTGATGTGATTGTGATTATCGTCACTGCTGTCAGCAAAGTTCTTGCTATCATGATATAACACTACTACTGCTGCTACCTTTGCGACAACTACCACTACTACTCTTAACAATATCTCCATTACCTTTTGGCACCTATTGTAGTTTCACCGTACGGTTATTTAAACCTGAACTTAGTTACAAATTCAAAGTGTTGCAGACTGCGTACTGTCCTTCAATGAGAAGGTGCGATTCGGAGCGATTCGGTATTCCACAATATTCTGAAAGGCACTGGGGGGAGTAGTTCATTTATACTCGCTTGGCGTTACAGGGAAAAGCAGCCAAGCCTAACCCTAGTCGAAGTGCTCGGGTCCCAGTATCCAAACCCCCAAGCTCTAAGCCCTACACCTAAATCCGGAACTTGTAATCTAAACTCCTAAATTAAACCCTAACCGAAAACTCCAATCCTGCAAAAGGTTGTAGTTCAGATACGGGATTGAAAGACGAAGGGTTAGCAATTGGCCGCTGACCTTCGACGACGTACTTGAAGATTACAAATCTGTGGCAGTTCGGGGTGTAGGGTTTGTGGCATGTGGTGCTTACGGTGTTTAGATTGTAGGATTTTGTGATGCCGTTCTGTGCTATGGATGGCAGTGCATCACCGCATCAAGGTATGTACTGAAGTATCTCGAAAGTGGTTGCTGGGGCATCCAACAGTGAGTGCCGACCCTACCTGAAGCATCATGCCGAAGCACCAGAAACAGGTGAAGAAAAGTGCTACCGAGGCTGTATTTCTACATGTAGCCCCAGACGAGGTACCTGTCAACCTGCTCCAAACCACCGATAGAAACCCAAATGACCCCCCAAAACTCTGCTGCGTTGAGATGAGGCTCGATCGTTTGCTTCCTTCAGCAAGCTTTCCCTCGCGGTATCGCCGGCAGATACTGCATGCTGCAGACGTTGGATAGTGGAATTCCTCGGGTTATGAAGACTCCGAGGCGACGCATGGCCGTAGACTGGAACCCCAAGCAAAACCCCTGAGGGCGCACATAGATCCGAAGTTCCATCCCTAAACCCAAAAAAGGTAAACCGAGTGTAGTTTTGCAGCTCAAGAGCCCCAATATTTGGGACTTCGGAATTCCGGCAACAAGCCGGTTGCACCCGAAGTCGATATAATGGACCTACAAAAATCACCGTGCAGGGGTATATTGTGGGGTTTCGTTCACGGTTTAGGGCCTAAGACTCCGGGACGAGCTCTATGAGCAAGGCATCGGATGAAACCCCCAAAAAAGTCGAACAGAACTTAAAAGGAGCCCTTCATTTGTAGTTAATGGTTGGGAGCCCGAAGCCCTTTAGCCCGGGTGTCTTTGAAGGAAGGCAGGGTTGTAATGTAGGGGCCTTAATATTTAGAATAGTGTTTTGGGGATTACTATATTCATAATAAGGAATCCCCCAAAAATACCTACTATAGGGGCCTTAATAATTTCAAGCACTACTTTGGGGGAATCTTGTTCTACTTAAAGAAGGCCCCTACAGTAAGTTGTAGCAGGGTGTCAATTCCTCAGCGACGGCAGCGGCGTTCGAGGCATCTGCTGCTCGCCCATCCTTCCCATCTCTTCTTATCGGTATTGCTGTACAGTAGAAGCCAAAAAGTTGGAAACCCAATAGCCTCGCTCCTTAAGAGTAGTGTATAGGGAATCCCAGCACTAACTGTCCTTAAGCCGGTTTCCAACTTTATGGGGTTTCCTGTAAGGGTTTTTAACGAACCCCAGACCCGAAGCCCTAAACGCCGGTATCTCAACATTTCATTGTTCTATCACTAGACCCAAGAGTATCCTAGCAATAAAAAGGGTGCCCTTTTTGGTTTAAAGGGGCTTATAAGGGAATCTGAACCCTAAAAAAGGGAATAAGGGCCTACTCTCTAGATCAAGGTTCCAAATAAGGACAGGGGCGGATTTTCCAGCTTCAGGAACTCCCCTTGGTTTTGTGGCTTAGGAACCCGCATAGTACCCGTAACGGAACGGGGCGTCGGACCTTTATGGGGTGGTCTTCAGGTGTCGGCCGTAAGCAGGGCTGACACGGACACACAAACGAGTGCTTCAACTTCTGCTCCTGAACATCAACTATCGTCTCGAGCACTCCAAACAGCCCCCTGAATCCTCCTCGACCCTAAACCGTAGCCACTATCGGCTTAAGCACCCCTGCTAGGAGTTGTAGAACTTGAGCCCACCGAAAGCCCCAAACCTGAAACCCTAAGACCCACATCATCAACCCGAGGCCCTAAAATCTGCAAAACAACTAGAGCCTGATACACCAACGCACTATGAGATGCCCTGAAAGCTAAAGATGAGTGCGTTTGCTGCGTTCACGAAGTGAGCTAGCAAACCGGCATCAGTTCTGGTTTGGAGTCAGCGCCCCTTTTCTCATCCGTCAGTTGTGGGGATTGGGATTCGAGCTGTAGGTTCAGTGTGGAGGTTGGTGGGGCCGTGATGTAGTGGCAAGTTCAGGGTTTGAGGTGCATCCAACCCCAACGGCGGTCACGTAAGGGGTTGGATCAGGGATCCATTAAGGGATCCTTTATGGGCTAGTATAGAGGCCGACATAACTAGCAATACTATTTTGGGGGTTCCTTATTGTAGCTATAGTATAATATACCCCCCAAAACCCTATTCTAACTATGTATCAGATCCCTTATAGTAACCATGATATAGAGCCCTTTAAAGGAACCCTATTCATATTCATAAGGCCCCTATAGTACGTCCCTGATCCTCGCAGTGGCGTCGAAGGCCCACGCGGTTGAGCTCGTGCAGCAACACACTACATCCTGAACCCTCTAGGGTCCAACATACCCAGAGAGCCCAATAGCCCTTAACTAAGGAATATAGCTCAACTCATAATATGAAGCCCTGTATGATTTAAGCCGTATTCCTTAATTAAGGGGTATTGGGCGCTCTGGGTAGGAGCCTGAATAAATAGAATAGGGTTTGCCAGACATATATATATATATATATATATATATAGTATTGCTAATCATTTAAGCCCCTATGTTACCCAGAGACTCCAATATCCCTTAATTAAGGGATATACCTCAAATTCTAATCGGGTCCCTAATATGACTTAAGAAATGTTCCTTAATTAAGGGATATTGGAGTCTCTGGGTATCCCAATCAAGGCATGGTTCACCCTGTGGCCTCAGGTGATTTGGGGTTTAGGAGTGTGCCCTTATGGCCCGAAACCGACTTGTCGACCTTCCCTCATAGTTTCGCATTGGGTCTCTTCTTCAACAACCGGGCCCCAAAAAGTTCAATCTTTCTAAGACAGAGCTCATATACAAGGCCAAAAAGTTCATATTTCCCCCGCTCACTATCTAAGTTGGGGACCCCGAACCCCGAAGTAGTAATTGTCGGTAGTAGCAAAGCCCTGCCCTTATCAGTCCCCCCTAAACCTTAATGCCAAACACCTTAACCCTAAACCCCTAAACCCGGAAACCTCTAGACCCTTAACCCCAATGTCCAAACACCAATTCCTAAGCGGGCCTGCTCTGCAGCGAAGTCGGATCGGAGCCTCAACTTGCTTGCAGTTTGACGGGGGCTGCAACATGAACTGTTGGGGCTATAATAAGAAACAGACCCTAAACCCTTTCCGGTTAAGGTGTTTCAGTTGAGGGGGAGAGGGATAAGGAGAAGAGATGCATGGAAAAGAAAACAGCAAGCACATCTGGACAAAAGTTGCTATTGCCAACACAGCCCCGGAACTGTTTCAGTTCTGAAGATAGATTCTCCACATCCTCCTTGCCCTTCGCTATTAACGAGTCACCACGTTCCACTGCAGCAGCATGCTCTGTCTGCCATTGCACGATCTTCTCGTTCAGCTCATGGACTCTCGCCGAAGCTTCTGACTCCAGCAGTGTGAGTGCCTCCGCGTCGCTGGAAATGGTCTCCTGCAACTGCTTGATGGTGGCCTTGAACTGCTCCGCATCGGTAGTTGCCTTCGAAGAGTCGGATGCTCGACCCTCCTGCTCGGCGGCATACTCGGAACGAAGCTGCTCTAGTTGGGCGGTGAAGTTCTTCACCTCATCTTTGCCTTTGGTCTCCAAGCTGTCTCCTCGTTCCACTGCAGCAGCATGCTCGGACTGCCACTCTGCAATCTTGTTCGTGAGGTCTAGAATTCTCGCGGAGGCATCTTGCTCTTGAGTGGACCGTTCGTCCATCTCGTTGGAAATGGTCTCTTGCAACTGCTTGATTGTGGCCTTGAGCTGCTCCGCATCCGCAGCTGCCTTCGAGACATCAGATGCTCGACCGTCCTGCTCGGCGGCATACTCGGAACGAAGCTGCTCCAGTTGGGCGGTGAAGTTCTTCACCTCATCTTTGCTTTTGGTCTCCAAGCTGTCTCCTCGTTCCACTGCAGCAGCATGCTCCGTCTGCCACTCTGCGATCTTGTTCGTTAGGTCTAGAAACCTCGCGGACGCATCTTGCTCTTGAGTAGACCGTTCGTCCATCTCGCTGGAAATGGTCTCTTGCAACTGTTTGATCGTGGCCTTGAGCTGCTCCGCATCCGTTGCTGCCTTCGAGACATCAGATGCTCGACCATCCTGCTCCGCGGCGTACTCAGAACGAAGCTGCTTCAACTGAGCCGTGAAATTATCCGCATCGTCTTTGCCCTTGGTTTCCAGGCTGTCACCTCGTTCTACTGCAGCAGCATGCTCCGTCTGCCACTCTGCAATCTTGTTCGTGAGGTCTAGAATGCGCGTTGAGGCATCTTGCTCTTGGGAGGTGCGTGCCTCCGTCTCGCTGGAAATGGTCTCCTGCAACTGCTTGATGGTGGCATGTAGCTGCTCTGCATCGGCAGCTGCCTTCGAAGAGTCGGATGCTCGACCCTCCTGCTCGGCGGCATACTCGGAACGAAGCTGCTCTAGTTGGGCGGTGAAGTTCTTCACCTCATCTTTGCCTTTGGTCTCCAAGCTGTCTCCTCGTTCCACCGCAGCAGCATGCTCCGTCTGCCACTCTGCAATCTTGTTTGTGAGGTCTAAAATCCTCGCGGAGGCATCTTGCTCTTGAGTGGAGCGATTGTCCATCTCGTTGGAAATGGTCTCCTGCAACTGCTTGATGGTGGCCTTCAGCTGCTCCGCATCGGCAGCTGCCTTCGAAGAGTCGGATGCTCGACCCTCCTGCTCGGTGGCATACTCGGAACGAAGCTGCTCTAGTTGGGCGGTGAAGTTCTTCACCTCATCTTTGCCTTTGGTCTCCAAGCTGTCTCCTCGTTCCACCGCAGCAGCATGCTCGGTCTGCCACTCTGCAATCTTGTTCGTGAGGTCTAAAATCCTCGTGGAGGCATCTTGCTCTTGAGTGGACCGTTCGTCCATCTCGCTGGAAATGGTCTCTTGCAACTGCTTGATGGTGGCCTTCAGCTGCTCCGCATCCGTTGCTGCCTTCGAGACATCAGATGCTCGGCCGTCCTGCTCCGCGGCATACTCAGAGCGAAGCTGGTCCAGCTGAGCCGTGAAATTATCCACATCGTCTTTGCCCTTGGTTTCCAAGTTGTCACCTCGTTCTACTGCAGCAGCATGCTGCGTCTGCCACTCTGCAATCTTGTTCGTGAGGTCTAGAATGCGCGTTGAGGCATCTTGTTCTTGAGCGGTGCGTGCCTCCGTCTCGCTGGCGACGCTCTCCTGCAACTGCTTGATGGTGGCATTTAGCTGCTCCGCATCGGCAGCTGCCTGCGAGACATCAAATGCTCGACCCTCCTGCTCGGCGGCATACTCGGAACGAAGCTGCTCTAGTTGGGCAGTGAAGTTCTTCACCTCATCTTTGCCTTTGGTCTCCAAGCTGTCTCCTCGTTCCACTGCAGCAGCATGCTCGGTCTGCCACTCTGCAATCTTGTTCGTGAGGTCTAAAATCCTCGCAGAGGCATCTTGCTCTTGAGTGGAGCGATTGTCCTTCTCGCTGGAAATGGTTTCCTGCAACTGCTTGATTGTGGCCTTCAGCTGCTCCGCATCCGCAGCTGCCTTCGAGACATCAGATGCTCGACTGTCCTGCTCGGCGGCATACTCGGAACGAAGCTGCTCCAGTTGGGCAGTGAAGTTCTTCACCTCATCTTTGCCTTTGGTCTCCAAGCTGTCTCCTCGTTCCACTGCAGCAGCATGCTCGGTCTGCCACTCTGCAATCTTGTTCGTGAGGTCTAAAATCCTCGCGGAGGCATCTTGCTCTTGAGTGGAGCGATTGTCCATCTCGCTGGAAATGGTCTCTTGCAACTGCTTGATTGTGGCCTTCAGCTGCTCCGCATCCGCAGCTGCCTTCGAGACATCAGATGCTCGACCCTCCTGCTCGGCGGCATACTCGGAACGAAGCTGCTCCAGTTGGGCAGTGAAGTTCTTCACCTCATCTTTGCCTTTGGTCTCCAAGCTGTCTCCTCGTTCCACTGCAGCAGCATGCTCGGTCTGCCACTCTGCAATCTTGTTCGTGAGGTCTAAAATCCTCGTGGAGGCATCTTGCTCTTGAGTGGAATGTTCGTCCTTCTCGCTGGCAATGGTCTCTTGCAGCTGCTTGATGGTGGCATTGGCCTTGTGCAGAGCCTGGCAGCTTTCCAGGGTTTCTTTCTGCATGTAAGTAAAAATCAGGTAGTATAGTTACATAGTTACGGCATCAGACCAGTTATGGCATCGGAGTGTAGCCAGGACAGGCCCGAGGGTCTCAACCTTTTCTGCCACAATTCCCGGGCCAACTGAGATGTTGGTTCAAGCTACAACATACAAGCTCAGCCACCACCACCACCACCACCACCAACACTCCCACCCCCACCGCCACCACAGCCACCACCAAAACTCCCACCCCCACCGCCACCACGGCCATCACCACCGACACCACCACCACAAAGCGAAGAACAAGTTAACAAGCAAGAGACGATCCTCGTTGGAGCTATGTTGCTGTGACTCCAGCACTTCGGCGTTCTGCACCTCCAACTCCTGCGGGGAAACTTCTGTGCGTACATACGTGTGATTACATATCAGGAACGTAGGAAATAGATAGGGAAGGGGAGAGAGAGCGACAGAGAGAGAGAGAGAGATTGATAGATAGGCAGGCAGATGGATGTGTAAATGGATAGGTAGGTTGACAGATAGATAGAAAGATGGATAAACAGACAGATACACAGGCAGATCTAGGTAGATCGAAAGAAAGCGAGGGAGATAGATGGATAGATAGTAGACAGGTGGACTAGTAGATGGTTGGAGACAAAAAGACAGACGCATCGATAGATAGGTAGATAGGTAGACAAATAGATAGACAACTCGATAGACCGACAGATGGACAGATAGATAGATAGATCGAAAGACAGAGAATTAGATTCTTTAGATGTGCACATAGACAGATAGCACTCATCAACCAGTCCTGAATATGCAAACTGCAGCTTGAAGGTAAGCACTGTGCCACAATACCACGACAACCGAAATAGACCATCAAGCCTGAACCAGCTACCACAACTTCATACCCCCCCAACCTAAACCCTGAATTGTGTTGACCACGCCCTGGGAGTTGGGCTTCATGGACCCGCGTAGCACAAAACGACAAAGATGCGGAGATTACCTGTACCACTACACCGGGATGTGAGCTTCTTCCCAGAGACTCAATGTCCTTTAGTTAAGGAATATACCTAAAATCATAGCAGGATCCCTGATATGATTCCTGAATTAAGGGATATTGGAGTCTCGGGTTGTAAAACTAAAGTTTACAATGGAAAGTTAGAACCCAGAGTCCGCCACCCTAAGCCCTGTACTCAAAGCTTGCATCTCATAAAGCTACATAAGTTAACATGAGTTGTGGTGGTTTAGGAACCCCTGAACTCTACTCCCTAAATCTGTAAAACCTTAAAACCTAATTCCCCAGGCACTTCAGCCCCAAACCCTAAACCCTAAAATCCCTAAACCCAAGGTACGGGTTGGGGTTGATCGGTGGCCTTCAGCTTCTGTGACAAGCTGGCAGCCCTTGTCTCGGAACTCTGAAACAGCTCTTCCTGAAGATGATCGTCACTTCAGTGTTGAGTGCTTTAGGATCGATAGGGCTTAAAAAAAATTGGGGTCTTTGGGGGCTTGGGGTTTTGGGCTGTTGGTTCAAGTTAAAATTCGGGCTTAAGGTTTGGGGATTTGGGCTCTCTTCAGGATTTGGGGCTGAGGGTGTTTCGGGTTGTGAAATTTGGGTTCTCTTTTCAGGTTTAAGGCTCTGGTTTTTGGGTCTGTAATTTCTTTTTAGGGGTTTAGGGAAGAAAGGGATTACGGAAAACTGCCCGAATCTATAACCTCCTCCTGGTTGTATGATGTACTCTCTCGAAGTAACAGCGAAAAGAGCCTCCTGCAACCATGCTTGCTTTGATCTTTCGATACAAGCACTTGCCTAAGAGGATCCAAAAAGTCGGTCCCAGACGGGGGTTCCTATAGAGTACCCTGAAGCTTCAGTAGTATAGGGTTTAGGGTTTAAGGTTTAGGGTTTAGGGTTTAGGGTTCAGGGTTTAGGGTTCATAAGGTCCCAAAACAAGGGATCTATACAGTTTGGATGCTCCCAGGGGTCTGGGTAAGGGTCCAAGTACCATCGAGACCTCCCCCCTTTGTTCCCAAGTACGCACCCTCGCTCGTACCCTAAGGCTCGAAATGGCCCAAAAGCCTTAAATAATATGGTCTTTAGGCCCAAAAGTCTTTGGGCTTTCGAGCAGTTTAAAGCGTTGAGGCTAGTCAACCAAGCCTACAGTCCACGGCCTCAACATCAGAAACCCTTGCATTTCGAAACTCTACTAGTAGCTTAGTAGCTTTCATACAGGTAGTAGTGGTAGTAGTAGTGGTAGTAGTAGTAGTAAAAGTAGCAGTAGTAGTAGCAGCAGCGTAGCAGTGGTCCTGATAGCATTTGCAATGTTACCCTAAACCCTTTAAGCCCCACGCCCCACAGCCACCGCCCGACATCTCAAAAAGGAGATCAGCCCTTGAGGGTGTAGGGCTTACATGGAAGGGCAGGGGACTTAGTAAGTAGGGTTTAGGGTTTAGGGTTTAAGGTTTAGGGTTTAGTAAGTAGGTTATAAGTAGAGTTATAAGTACCCTAAATGGAGTTACCCCAATTATAACCCTACTTATGAACGACTTACTAAGTCCCCTGCCCTTCCAAGTAGGGCTCTGGGTTACCAAAAGGGTTTGGTAGAAGGGCTAACTGTTCAGGGATGTTGAAGCCGGGGTAGTATCATCGCATGCTGATGCATGAGCCCGGAACCCGTAGACGGAAATTTCGGAAACCCTACAACCTCCACCCCAATGCTCCTAAACCCCTCAAGCCCCGGAATCCCTAGTTTCTGAATCCCACTCACGTTGCTGTGAGCTTCAGGTGCCCCAAAATCAAAAAAACCTGAACTCAAAATGTAAGGGTTTGCCTATAGTCTCCATTGTAGTTCCCTTTTGAGTGTTACCTTATAGGATCACACATACAAAACCGGTTGAACCCAACGATGGAACTACAATGGAGACTATACCCTAAACCCTAAAACCTTATATAAAATCCTAAACCCTAAACCTTATGCCCTAAACCCCGCCCCAAAAAAGTAGAATGGAGACTGACTATACCCTAACAATGGAGACTGTAGGTAAAGTTTGGGGTGGATTGAGGGGGCCTTGAGACTGATCTTTACGTGATGCTCTGTTGTACCAGAACAAAGTGCCCTGAAGCCTTTTTCAGCCCCTACCAAAACCCTAGGAAGCCCGATAAAATCCGATAGAACCTCATGAATACTTTTCATAACATCCGATATTTGAAGCCCGATAAAAGACCCTATACACGACACTGTATAAACGCAACGCTAAAGGATTTGAGCATAAGTTAGCTCGGGCACTTGAACCTCAGCCTTCTTCAACCGGCGGCTCAGAAATCCCCTATTTATCGCCCTGTATTGCCCCCTACAAACTCCATAATTTCTGACATTTAAAGCCCGATAAAGACCCTATTCTTAGGTGCCGAGTTCATTAGCCAAAAAAAGTTTAAACTTTCAGTTTTAAGAGGGTTTCATTATCCCAAAAAATTTAAAGTTCATAAACTCAGCTACTAAGACTATATAATACGACACGGTCTAAACCCTATACCGCCCTGTATTAGCCCCTACATGAACCCAATGTCCCCCAGAGCCCGTCCTGCGTGGACCTTGCCTCTGCTTCGGAGGCAGCTTCTTCCTTCAAGTAGGGTTTGTTTTGTTTAAATGCAAGTAGGGTTTAGGGTCGAGGGTTTAGGGTTGAGGGTTTAGGGTTTAGGGTTGAGGACTTAGGGTTAGGGTTCAGGTGTTGAAAGGTTCTTGTACAAGGGGCCTTGATAATTAGAGCAGGGTTTTGGGGCCCATGGTACTATAACTATAAAAAGGAACCCACCAAATAGTATAGGTAATTATTGAGGCGCTTATAGTAGGGTCCAGTTCTTAAGGTTTTGGTCAGCTGTTGGTGTCTTTTTTGTTTTTCACCGGGTCTAGGTTTGGGGGTATTTTTACATGGGTATCCGACAGAGTCCAACAAGTTGATGTACGGTGCGGGGATTAAGTTTAGGGTTTGGGATTTCGGATTTGGTGTCTGGAGTTCGGGGTTTAGAGTTTGGGGTACAACGTTTGGGGTAGAGGGCTTAGGGTTTGAGCCAGAACTCTCCTCCAGGCGCTTGATGGTGTCGTTTGCTTGACGCAATGCCTGCAAACAGGCACAGAGTTATCAGTTATCCACTCTTGGCACAGGTTTTTCTGCTTGACGGAGGGTTGCATCCTGTTGGCATGGGAAAGTAGAGGAGGCCATGGAGCTACAATTAAGGCGAATGGTTAGTGGAGGTTGGACAGCCTCGGTTCCGGCTTGGGGTTCAGGGTTTAGGGTCGAAGGGCTTAGGGTTCAGGGTCTAGGGTTTATTAAAGGCCGTGGAAGTTGTCACTCTGTCTATAGCGATGGCTCTGTCGCAAGGGCTTGACCACTTCACTGCAATGTCCAGGGTGCGGGCGCTTGCCAAATGCTGCAGGAACGCATGCACCCACGCGACTGTTAAAGAATCCGGGGACACGTAGAACATAGCTACCAGTAAAGGGGGAGTCAAAAGTAACCCGGCGGGGAGTCATAAGAAACCCTAATGATAAGTGGGTTTGCACAGTTTGAACTTTTCGAAACCTACTTACATTCCTAACAGTTGAGAAAATGCATGCTTTCATGAACATGCATGCCAACCACTAGGAAACGCATTCTGCACACTTAGCCAGCTCCAAACCACGCATTCATACTGGTCTGGGGTAAAACTTTACCGTAAACCCAACCTAGACCCGGAAAGTAGGTAAAGTAATGGCCCAACACCTACAAGAGGCTATACATACATGTGGTGTCCAAGTACACCCTAAACTCTAAACCCTAAACCGCCGACCAAAGCCCGCTCGGCCGCGCCGTCGAGGGACGTTGACGACTCTACAGATTACCTTGGCCCTGAAGGACCTACCTTTTTAAGGACTTGAAAGGAAATCATAATAAGGAACCCAAAAAAGGTAGGTTAATCAGGGTTAAGGTGGAGTGTAGGATTTAGGGAGGGTTCAGGGTTTAGGGTTCAATGAAAGCTGTAATGACCTGGA